AGGTGGGGTTTGGCACGGCCGCAGCTGCGGGGCGAGTGCTGTTCCGTGTCGCAGCGTGGAACCTGTACGGAAGAAGCCCGTACGGCATTGTAGCGTGCCACTTAGAGCCAGTGCCGCCGCCTGGTTACCCGCTGGTGGCAGCGCGGGATCCGGCGAATGGGACGAGCGAGGGGGCGGCGGCAGCGGCGGCCGCGAATGACCGTGTGGCGATGGCGGTGGTGGCGACGGCGGCTGCCCAAACGAGGGGCCAGCAGCCGGCGACATCCCGCAACGGCGGCGGCTGGGGCTGGGGATGGGGCCCGGATGCCTCGTTTGCGTCCGCATGTCGGGGACCCGGTCCCGGGACCTCCGAGGCCGCCGCATGTCCCGGGGGCGGGGGGGCCGAGCTGCGGACAGGCTGGCAGCAGGCGCTGCCGCCGCCGCAGCTGCCTGGCGCCGCCGCCTCCTCGGACTCAGCGCTTCAGGCGCTGATACAGCGGCCACCGGGCCCTGCCGATACCGGTGGCGGTGTCCGGGGGCCCGTTACGGCCATGACACAGGGCCCCTGGTTGGCACCGCCTACCCGCAAACCCCAGCCTCAAGCCCAGCCCCAGGCCCAGCCCCAGCCTCAACCCCAGCCGGGGGGGACCACAGCTCTTCGTTGGTGGAGTTCATTGCTGCTGGCGGTGGTGCCCTGGCTGCTGAGGCTGCTGCCCCTGCCGCTGCTGCGAGGGGCGATGGAGGTGGCTCACAGGCTGGTGCTGAGGGCGCAGGCGGCGCTGGGCTGGCAGCCGCCGGAGAGGCTCATGCAGTCGCCGAGGGCGGCAGCGGCGGGTTCGGCGGCGCCAGGGATGCTAGATCTGAACCCCTCGCTGCATCTGACACCCTCCAGCAGCGTCCCCGCCCTGGCGGCAGCAGCCACAACAGCGCAGAGCGCCGCTGCTGGGTCTTGTGGGGTTGGGGGGGCGGCAGGCGGTGGCGTGTGGACGGGGGCTAGGATGGGAGCTGGGGCTGGGGACGGCCTTGGTGCTGGCGGAGGCGGCGGTGTACGGAGCTCCGCCTCCGGAGCCGCGTGGCCTGCGGTAGGTCCAGGCGGGTGCAGTACCGGCGGGATAGACACTGTTGCTGCTGCTGCTGTGGCGGCTGCTGCCGCCGCAGCCGTTGCACCTGCTGCTGCTGCTTCGTCGTCATCCTCTGTTGCTGCTGCAACGGCTGCGGCTGCGGCGGCCGGGGCGGCTGCCTCCGGGCCAAGTATTCGAACCCGGAGCAACTGGCTGGAAGCTGTCTTTCCCATGATGGCGGCGGCGGCGGCTGCGACACAGGGTACGGACCCAGTGGCGGTACCGCCGCGCTCGTCGCTTGGGAGCGGCGTGGCGCCGTACCGACCACCGCCGGCAGCGGCACCCTCGCCGTACGGGAGCCCCGGTAGCGACATTACTGGGGTGCAATACATCTTCGGAGGGCTGCAACCACCACAACCACCACAACCACCGCAACCGCTGGCACTGCCGCAGGGCCCCCGTCCCGTGTCCGCCTCTCCTCCCGCTCCTCCGCATCGCAGCACCAGCGAGGGGGACATCTGCGGGCTGGAGGACGCCGCCCGGCCCTCCTACATCACGCGGGCCCCCCCCGGCCCGCGCCCCTATCTGGGCCCAGCGAGTCCGCCGCTGCTCTCCCACCTCACCCCGCACCAGCTAGCGGCCTCCGCACCCTCCCTGGGGCTAGGGCTGGGACCCGTGGGTCGGATGGGCCCTACGTCCACGACGGGTCCCCTTAGCTCGATGTCCGTGAGCGGGTCCTCCCGGGGTGCGAGCCAGGTTCGGGGTCTTCGCGGGGCGGAGACGGAGGGGGACCTGTTGGCGATGGCGGCGGCTGTGAGTGGCGGCGGCTGTGTGTCGGATCGGGGCCGCGGCAAGGTGTGCGCAATTCCCGGCTGCGGTCGGAAGCTGGACTTGCGACACTACCGTAACTACTTGCGGCGACATTACTGCGGCCGCTGTCAAAGGACGGTGTGCGGCCAGCACACGGCGTACAGGTGGGGGGTGGAAGGGAGGGAGGGGGAGGTAAGGGGAGGGCCGTGCGGGCGGTAGCCGGTAGGGGAGTTGAAGGGCCACCTCTCTGCTACTGGAGGTCCTTTTCGTAGGATGCGTGACCATGGTTGCTGTGATGTGGTCTGGCGGGTGGTGGTGGTGGTGGCGGCGAACTGCACCGAATGCACGTATGTATGATACAAGTATTGGTAGTACACCACCACCAGCTGCCTCACACCAGCACCACCTGCACGTTGGTCAAAATGGGTGCGGTTGTTGCGATTGGAAGCCTGCAACACTCGCCCGTCGAGATTGGCCCCACGTTTCCCTTGTGTGTCTTTGCTTATTCGATGCTGCTGGTGCTGCCTCCCCCTCCCCCTCGCCCTCCTCCTCCTCCTCCGCAGTCCCCATGGTCCCACGGGCTCATGCGACCACGTGAGCCGCTGTGTGTGCACCTCCTGCTTCACACACTTCAATCCCGCCTACCAGCTCTTCCTGCTCAAACACAACAAGCTGCAGCCCGGCAGCGGTGTGGGGCCACAGGAAGCAGCAGCGGCAGCGGGTGCAGGGGCTGCGGCCGGGAGTCGGCGTGGGAGCGCGAGCGGGAGTACTGGGGCTGGCAATGGGGAGGACAAGAGCGCGGCGAAGCTGCTCTGGGAGAGGGCAGCGACGAAGCTGAAGGCGGTAACCCGGTTTCGCAAAAGAGGAGCAGAAGGGCAAAGCGGCGGGTCGCAGGCGCTCGAGGGCATCGTGGAATAGCGTAGCCCCAGTAATGTTTTTTCGAGTCGTACGTCATGAATAAGCGCATGCAGCTTTGTGTTTCAGGTTGCTTAAAAGCAAGATCTAGTAGGCCTTGCGATGTTCCCTTTAAACCTAGCAGGCTGTTCTATGTATTCTAGCTGTGATGTTGTTCCATTTTTTAGTTTCGATTGCAGAAATGCAGTTGCGAGGTTATCCTAGCTGACCGCTCCTCTAAAATGTTCAACTTAATAGTCTATTCAGATGCATTCAGGGACTTTTGCAGAATGCAGCACAGGCATTTCTGTAGTTTCGAGACGAACGGCGGCCTGTAGACGAGTTGCGCCGCACCGAGCTTTATATGAAACAATATGTGATAATCATATCAAGCAATCCCATGGCAACACGCGAGGTTTTCTATTGTGTGCATCGGCTTCGCAGACTTTTCTCCCCGCACAGCTTCTTACAGCAGCCATAAGCAGGTCAAAAGGCGTCGATGACCTGTCTTTTACGTGTAAAAACAATTGGGATGCGCTTAACCACATCCACATATCGGCGGCGTTGTCCGCGGCCGTCAAGCTGCCTGGTACGCGGACGGCAGCGTCCGCACCCCTGCTTGACTCGCTCGCTGTACGATTTGCTCAAACACTTCCGGACGCCACAATTCGCGAGGTCGCGACCGTGCTCTGGTCCCTTGCCAAATTGGGCCGGCCCGCGCCGCATGCGCTGCTGTCGCACATTCTAGCAGCCCAGCAGCGCGGCTTTATGCTGCGTACAGCCTCACCCCAAGCTATAGCCAACATGCTGTGGGCCCTCGCCACGTGGCGAACCCGCGAGCCGGAACCCCTGCTGTCGCTCGTGCTGGAGCAGTGCTACCGTGCGCTGCCCGCCTTCCAGCCACAGGACACCGCCAATGTGCTATGGGCGCTGGCACGACTGAACCACAGCGGCGAGCCACTGCCGCTGCCGCCGCCGCTCCTGCCGGACCTATTGGCCGTCGCCGCGACGCAGGCCAGCGCAATGACCCCGCAAGGCCTCGCCAATTCGGTGTGGGCCTGCCACCGTCTACGGCACCGCCACGCCGCCTTGCTGCGCGCAGCAGCTGTCGCCTTCCACACCCAGCTGCCCGCCGCCAGCCCCACGGATATAGCGCTCATGACAGCCAGTCTTGCCCACCTGCATTTCCGCTGCCCAGCTCTGCTGCGTGCGGTGGCAGAACGATGTTGCGGATCAGGATCGAACTGGGGACCTCCAGATACGGCGCAGTGGACCATAGCTCCAGATGGGGTTCGGGGTTCTCGGGAGGGCTCCTGGAGCCCACTCAGCCGGCAGCGGCTCCTGTGGGCCTTCGCCACGTTGAGGTTCCGCCATCCGGCCGCCGTACGTGCGCTGCTGCTTGGGACTCGAGGGCTCCAGGACGCTAAGGAGAAGGAGGAGGAAAGGGTTGAGGAAAGTGACTTGTTGGGAGGAGCTGGGAGCTGGGAGCCCGGGGGGAGTGAAAGCGGCGACGAGGAGGGGGGAGATGGTTGCGGAGGCGGCGGTGGGGGCAGCGGAGCCATGACGGCATCCAGCTTGATCTGGTGTCTTGCCAAGCTGGGATGCGGTTCCATTGCGGGGCCCGAGCAGCGGCTGGTGCTGGCGGCGGCGGAACGGCTATGGGCGGTGCGTGAGTCTGTGGCGCTGCACCACGCGGCCATGGCGGCCTGGGGTCTGGAGCAGCTGGGGCTGCGCCAGCAGCGCCTCCTGAAGCTGGCATGCGCGCGGTTGCAGGAGGCCCTGGAACGATCCTACACATCTCAATCCCGCACATCCCACTCATCAGCCTCGGCCTCGACCTCCCCCTTCCCACACGGCACCGCCTCCGGTACCAGTCCTAGTCCTGGTCCTGGTCCTGGTGTTAGCTCCGATGGCGGGCTGAGCCCAGAGGACCTGGACGCCGCCGTGATGGTGCTCTGGTGCTTGGGCCGCCGGGGACCATTGACGGCGCCAGAGGCTGTAGCGGGAGCAGCGGAGGCAGCAGCAGCAGCAGCGGAGGCAGCAGCAGCAGCAGCGGCTGAGACTCGGATCCTGGACTTCTTCTCGTCTGCTGGCCCCCGCCTGTTGCCCCGGCTCAGTGCCCGGCAGCTGCCCCGCGTGTGTTGCGCCTACGTGCAGCTGGGGCGCAGCGACGGGGGGGTGCTGGGGGTGGCGGCGGAGCTCCTGATGGGCGCGGCGGCTGGCGGCGGCAGCGGTTGTAGTGGCAGCGGTACCGCCGCCGCGGCTGCTGCTGAAGTAGCGGTTGGAGCGGATGAGGATGAGGCGGGTGGGGAGGGGGAGGAGCGCTGCGCTGGTGTGAGCGGCAGCCCGGTGCGGCTTCAGGCTGGTTTAGGGGACGATGGTTTCGGGAGCGAGTACGACTACCGGGGGGCCCAGTGGGGGCTCAGCGGAGAGGGGGCGGATGAGGGGGAGCTGGTCTGGGACCTGGAAGGCGAGCAGGAGGAGGCGCAGGAGGCGGGTGCCGCAGGTTTCAGTCGCAACGGAGGCAGCAGCAGTAGCAGTAGCTCTGGCCGTAGCGGCGCCGTCAGGGGCGGTTGTGGGTGCGGGCTCCTGGATCGATTGCCGCGCAATGGCCTAGCCATGGCGCTGTGGGCCCTGGCGTCCTCCGGGTTCGCCTCCCCGCAGCTGATGCAACGAGCTGCAACCAGGGTGGTAGGGGAACTGTTCCCCCAGCTGCCGCCGGTTGCGGCGGCGGCAGCAGCCAACGTAGAGGCGCCAGCCGAGGTGCCGGCGGCTGCAGGATCCACCGGCTGCGTGGTGGGGGCTGCAGCCGCGGCGGCGTTTGGACGGCAGATGGTGGCGGGTGGTGCGGAACGTGGGCGGCCAACCCCACCGACACCGCAGCCGCCTGCAGCTGGGCGGCCTAGTGTGGGGGCCTCGCGCTGGGCGGCCCTCATCCTCTGGGCCTTCGCCGCATCAGACTGCTACAATGCCGTGCTGTACGATCATCTGCTGTCGTACGTGATCCGCAGAGTGTCACGGCTGGGCCCCGGTCGCGTGGCGATGGTGTTGTGGTCGTGTGCGGTGGCGGGTCACTACCGGCGGGACGTCCTGGAGTCGCTGTGCGGGGCTCTGCGGGAGGACATCAGGGTCCTGCCGCCAGCTAGCTTCACGCAGGTGTGTGTGTGTGTGTGTGTGTGTGGTTTGTACCCACGCGTACCCATATATGCATATGTACTTTTGCGTGCGCCTGTAATGTTTTGTAATGTGCGTGTGCGTGTGTATGGTGCCACTGTTGTTGCGCTCGCCGGTTTAGGAGGTTGGGGCTGCGGTTCACGCGGTTCCATGGACTTTGGAGCAGTGGTGCTTTATGTGGGCTGTGTGTGTGGGGGGGGGGTTTCTCTGGGAGCCGAGTGTTCGAGGCGGGTAGGTTCACCCGTCCCCGGATTACGAGCTCCCCAGGTTGCCCGCTCCCTCCCCGGGCCCCACAGCTGCACTGCCCGCCCGGGAGACTTGCCTCCCTTCCTCCGGTGAACCCCACCTGCACCTCCCTCCCGCCCGCAGGCCAACTGGGCCGTCGCGCACCTGTCCGCGGGGCTGTGTATGAGCTGGCGGGGCCCCGCCACCTCCCACCTGGCCGCCCTGTGCCCCCAGCTCACCCCCCACCAAGCCGCAGTGCTGCTGTGGAGCCTGGCAGTGCAACAGCTGGTCAGGGCGACGCAGGACAAGCGCAAATTTGCGGCGGCGGTGGACTTGCTCCTGGCGCAACTGGGTTCCGCGGTGGTGGGGACGAAGTCGGAGGTGCAGCTCGGCGGCCCGGTGGGGAGTGGGGACTGGGAGGGGGATGCCGGGGCGGCAGCATCCCGGGAGCTGAGTCGCGGGGTGCCAAGCGGGGTTGGCGAGGGGAAGGTGGGCGGGGCGGTTGTAGAGGCGTTGGATCGGGGCCTGGAGCCGTGTTTGGATCTGGAACGAGATCTGGATTCTCCAGGTGACCGGATCCAGGCGGGTTCATGTCCCCTGGATCCCGGAGTGGCGCTAATTGCTGCGGAGGCTCTGGCGCTGCTGCTGGCCAGCCCCCACCAGCGGGTGCGGCAGCGGGTGGAGGCCTACCTGGCCCACTGCGGTGGTGCGACTCCGGCCCTACTCCTGCCATCACACATTCCGCCGACGTCACCGCCAGCACCAGACCCCGGCCCCCCAGCATACGGAACTGCAGCACCTGGCGCTGACGGCAACAGCACAACGGAGGCCGGGTCGTGGTCGGGAGGATGGAGTGCCGGCCGCAGCGGCATGCAGGCGCCCGTCCCCACCTCCACCAGCTGCTCGGCGATTGGGACCGGGGGATTACTCGTGTCGCAGCTGGCGGCCGCCTGGCAGCATGCGCTGCAGCGGCGGCACCCGCAGCAGGCGGCGGTGGCGGCAGCTGCCCGGCAGTTGGGCTACTCGCCGCGGCTGCTGCGGACCCACGGGTCTTTCCCGCTGGCGCTCCCCTGTGCGGTAGAGCTGCCGGATACGGCTCCAGGCCCGGTAGTGGTGCTGCTGGCCGATGAGTCCGACTTCGCGACCAACGTTGTGGGGCAGCCGCTGGGCCCGCTGTTCACCACCGTGCAGCTGCTGCGGGTAAGCGGGTGGTTGAGTGTGTGTGGCGAGAGGAGGGAAGGAGTTAAAAGAAAGCCCTTACAGCCGTTGTCCCTCAGCTCAGCTCGCTGCCTCAGCCAGGACCCCATCGTCCGCACCGTTACCCCGTTATTGTCCATGTACACCGTACTGATGAGCACATCCAGATCACGATGCTGTGCCCCATTCCCTCCGCCGCCACGCCCTTTGCCGCACCTGCAACCCCATGTCCCCGCCTCCCCTGCACACGGGCCCCTACGGCAGCCGGTGCTTTGGACGTTGTCGGCAGTAGTTAACCTTCTGCTCCTTGCATCATCTTCATCTTTATCATCTTTATCATCATCATCATCATCACAATCATCATCACAATAATAACAGTAATAATAGTAATAATAGTCATAACAATGATATTGATTATAATAATACATCGTTATCAACTATAATAATTCCCCCCTCCAGGAATGTGGCTGGCTGGTTGCGGTGGTAGTGGCGCCGCGGTTCGCTGCTCTGCGGCATTCGCCTGCCCGCCAGGTCCGCCACCTGCGGCATCTGCTGCTAGCGGCAGGCGTGAGGGTGAGCGTAGGACCAGGAGGACCACCAACAGCAGTAGCAGCAGAGCATGTAGGAGCTGCAGGACAGCTGCTGTGGTAGCAACCACACAGTGTTTGCTACTGTTAGGAAAACTGTGATAAGGAGGTTAGAGCGAGTGCGGTACTAGGACCAGGATTAGCTAGCTGGGCACTAGCTGGACGCAGGATAGCGCCCGCGGCGGACGGCAAACGTGTATGTGCATGTAGGACTGTGAAAATGGAGGCACCGAGTGGTGCGTGTAGAGGTGCGTGTTTGTGAGTTGAGCTGCGATACTGACACGATATCGTAGGGTTGTGAATTTCGAAGTGGGCTGAGCAGGCCCCCCTGCCGACACAGGGCTCTGTTGGGCCCTGCGCGGGGACCCAACGAAGAGGAGGGAATGGGGGGTAGGACCTGAGCACCGAGCTGTCCTGCCGTGCATTCCGTACGGCTGGGTTTGATGACCCACTGCAGGACTACCCGAGTTTCCCCCCGGTACTGGCATCCTGCACGTGCTGCAGCGTGAGCTAAATGCATTTGTGCTCAAATGCAAAAAAGCCTGAAGATAAGTTTACAGAAGTTTCATACCATAACTGTTTGATAAAAGGTCTTTTTATTTTACCAACCACGTTTTACCAACCACAAAACCTAAATCACGCACATGCGCAACACACCATCCAGCCGACTCTGTTACCAAGTTTCCATCTGTCTACGACAAAAATCGCACAAATACCGCACCGTAATCCAATCAAAATCCACAATCCACGCGCAAGTCTCACCGTATGTGTCCTAAACCCTCTAATATAACATAAGCGATGAGGAATAGGTGATGCTAGATTGTGCATAAAGATGCAGTCACCCCCATTTGCCGACTCAATTCCGATGCCTTTCAAGACATCCCAGCAGCACGCCGCACTCCGCCTTGTCCAGGTGATTGATATGTACAACGGCTTGGTGAAGGCCTCCAGAAGGAGGAGTAAACCCCACCTGCACCTTAGTCCCAATTTCCCCAATCTTCATCAAGCTCTTCCTCTGCTAGCGCCTGCGCTGCGCCCTTGGCCTTCTGCACATTTTTAGGAACCTTATCCGACCCCGGAACAGGGGCTTCGGAGGCCCCCGTTTCGACAGCGGCAACCGAGTCGTCCGTCGCGGACGGCCCAGGGACATGCACCGCACCGCCGCTCGACCGGGTAGCCGGGCTTTCCGACGGCGGCGGAGTAACATCTTTGGCCGGGCCTTCTGCCGCCGCAGTGCTGTCAGAAGATGGTCTCTGCTGAGCATTAGACGAAACGACGCACCACTCCTTGGTGCTGCTATCACTGGCAGTTTCCACGTGGGACTCCGCCTCCAACTGTCCACCGTCCGCTACTGATGCGCTCCCGCTGGTGCCGCCGCTGCCAGCAGTGGTGTCCCCACCGGCGCTCTGTGACTTGCGGTCCAAGTCTACCGGTTCAGACGCGGATGCTGTAGTTGCCACTGCCGCAGCTGCAACCCTGGCCACAGCAGCTTGCTCTAAGTCGTTAAGCTCGCTTACCCCGGCCTCAGTTACGCCCGCCGATTCCGACGCAGATGGCGACCGCGGCTTGGTTGCAGAAGCAGAGAGGGTCCCGACGGCTACCTCTGACTCCGTCTGCGCGACTGGCGCAGGTGTCGCTGTCGGACCAACGTCGGACGCGGTTGGGCAGGAGGATCCCGCAGGAGGATTACTGCTTGAAGGCGGCGACAGCTGCACCTCATCCTCATCGCCCCAGCCCAGAGGCACGTCATCCTCCTGCAATGTCTTTGCACGCTGCGCAAGCTGCTGCCTTTGCTCCTCTTTCTGCTGCAGTTTGTGCAGTCTGTGGCAAAAGGTTGTGTGCAGCGAAACCCGTGGGGGAGCATCAGCAGAAGATAAGCAACCCCAATTATTCCACCGCCGAAGGGGGAAGCCCGAGCTTCCTATATGCCATTTCAGAGCATCAAGCCCGGGCATCAAAACAATAGCAGCAATAGCATTTACACATTACGCGGTAGGGTGCATCTTCTCAGTACCAATGCAAGGAAGTCTAAGAAGATAATGCGCTGCAACTCGTTAATGTGGCCGCTGCAGTACCTACGGATCACACTCGCCAATTGCGGCGGAATATTGGCTTGCCCAAGACATAGGCCGACGAAAAGCTTTCGAACGCAGAGTTCTTACCCGCATGAGAACTGGGCCTACATGCCCCAAAGTGCCCAGTGACAGGACACCTTGCCAGTATGCTGCGCCATCGAACGGATACACCCACGTCCAGACGGGCACATTCAACAGACCCTGCAAACCCGCATTGAGGCCATCCAGCCCTTAACCTAAAAGCGTAAACGCTGATCACCGCCAGTGAGTAGTTGCACGCCCCGCCTGACTCCTATATCCACCCTGCGCACCGGTAGAAGTAGCGGTTCCAAAAGTCATCGTATTCCACAATGATGGGCACCAAACGGGACTGTAGCTCTGCCATAAAGGCGTTGTCCGACAGGATACGAGTGATATCCGCCTTGACGCCCTCGAGGCTAAACCCAGCCTTCCACCGCGCGTAGTCCTCAGCATCATCTGGCTCATCGCAGTAGGTGCTGCTGTCGCGCTGCATAGCCGCAACCTGCCGAATGCGGGATTTCAACGCTGGACGGCAGCCATCCTTGCAACATAGGACTCAACATTCATACGCTTTCATATGGCAAGATGCTGAATTTGCACAAATCGTCTGGTAAGGTCTGCAACACAGAATCGCGCGAGGCCCCTGCTAACACGCATACCCAGGTCGTGTGCTCTGTAACCCGTGACTGCGCGGGACACGACTGTTAATGGTGTTTGTGAACAAACAAGGACCTAGCGAGGTGCACCAGCGGTATCGCTCCAGCTTTTATCGCTGACTTCCTAGCGGTGGAGTACGTACCGCAGAAAGGCGGGAGTTTTCATGAAGACGGATTGCGATAGGTCATAGTAGTCTGTTGGTGTTTTACCGTACGAGCCTTCGTGAGCTGACCTTCAGCAACGGCTCGCTCTGGTTCCCGTTATGATCAATTTGTGAAGGTGTCCCTTTGTCGGGCCTATTACCCTCGGTCCGTCTAAGGGATGCAGCGACTGCTTGGCGATGGCTGGGTTGCAGTGAGCGTGGCTGGGCTGCGAATGCCGGTCGGATTAACAACTAACCGACTGCGGTTCCCAAATGGGTAAACCGTTGTGCGGTGTGGGTTATCTGGTGTTGGTAGTTGGGGAAGCTAGGTGTATCAGTAACAATCCCGGACTTCCCCCCCAATGTACGTCGCATCACACGCACCTACCTCAGCCTCGAAGCGATTGTACTTCGCCGCCGCTGAGGTAAGCTTTGCCGTCGAAGAGCTTGCAGACTTGCCCCGTGCAGCACGTTTGCCCTCGCGTGACGCGGCAGCAATTTCGGTTTCCACGCCCTCCTTCAGCTGTGAGCGGAAACAAGGGTGGGGAAAACCTGGCACACGCATACGTAACACAGATGTGCAAGCTGACGCATACCTCATCGATAAGCTCCTTGGTTCCCTGCAGCAGCGACTTGCTTAAATGTGCGAAGACGACGCCGACACCCTCGAGTGTTTGTCCCACATCTTTCGGTAATTGAACTTTGGTAGGAAGGTGATGCAGAGCCTCCTCGGCCTGGAGGACAATGTCAGTCTTGACAAGATTGCTCGCCGAAACGGGCTGTTTGCAACGGCAAGACAACTAACCTTCTCAGGCAAATGCACCACTTGCTCGGGAAGATGCTCAACTAGCTCTGCCGTCTTCTCTTTCAATGTCTTGGATTCCTCCCCAACTTCGCGGCTGAAATGGCTCAGCTCAGTCCGCCAGTCTGTATCAACCACGCTCTTCACCAACTCATCAGCACGAGCCTTAACTGTGTTCGTCACCGCTGTTGCAACGCTCCATAAGTTCAGCAGGGAATTGGTAGCCCTGCAGTCCCAAAACCTAATCTAGTGACTCCAACTGCAACAGGCCAGCGACGTGACGATGCTTTCAATAAACTCACGACGATGTGCTGGCATCTCCTGCATTTTCCTTCGATGCGGGCCCCGTGCCCTGCACGAAACGTGGAAATATCGTGGCTCGATGCGCAATTAACTCTTTCCGACACAGCCGAACATTTTCACCTTGTCAGCACTAGCTGCTTCTGTCTCTTCTGGAAACAACGCATTGAACATGGTGCTGTCCAAACGTCCAGGTGTTGCTCTGGTTATACGCAAAGATTAAGGCTAAATGTCAACATTTACAACGAAGACGAGCAATTTCTCATTTGCGATGTATAGCTGGAAAAACAGTAATGCGAACTTGGAGCAGCACCAAACGCCGTACTGTACGCTTTGTCCACCCACCACCCTTGCAGCAACGCAAGACGCTGTAGCTACAACAGGAGTCTTTAAATTGCCTTGGTAATTTTGTATTGCATTACGAACTTTGAAGTTAGGAAGAATGATGACTGACAGGCGCGAGATGGCTGTCATTGCGCTACCAAAATAAGCCCTGAAGCACCAAATATTCTGCAGTGTTCTTGATCTTCTGGAGGACCGTCCTGTCATTTATCGCCAGCTCTGACGGACACAGGGAACGGCCCTCGCACAATATAGACGGCGTGGTCCTTGGACACCGACGGCGGCGTCCGTAATTTATACAGACCGTACCACAAATGGACGACGGGACTTTCATAGACGTGAGGGTGTCGTACGGTCAACCTGGCAGCAAGGCAGGAGGCGTGGTCAAGAGTTTGACAAGCTTGCCTGTGCGATCAGGAACATGGAGACCGCCGTCTTCGGGACACCGAGTTCATTCTGCCTGTAGTGGTTGGCACCTGCGCTTGGTGGATGGGCAAGAAGGTAGTTAAGATAGCGCAGCATTAGAGCGTAGCGTTGCGATGTCTTTGTCTCCAATAGGCTTCCGGGAGGCGCGTCCACATATCGCTAGCGCAATGAAGCTAGCGCAATGAAGGATAATATTGCGGAAAACACGGCGAATACCCAATTGGGGGAGCGGGGGATTGGCAGCGGGGCTTAGCTGGCGCACGCGTGATGGTGAAGATACACCTTATCGGGTATGTATTATGCATGCCGAGCGCTCTGAGGTGTGAGCTGCTTACACCTTAGGTCAGGCGACCTGAGGGAAGCATTGGGGATGGTGTGGGTTTGCCGTACCGGCAACTTGTTTGCATGGCCGCCTGGATCCTGTCAACCAGATGATCACGGCACATGTTGCCCACCTGCCACTAACGGCACTAACCAGGGGCTAGGTCGGGGAACATAGCACACGGGCGTATGGATGATTGCGTCTTGTCTTTTTCACCGGGCCTTTCCACCTGCGGTTTTCCGTATGCCTTGCTCCTGCGCCTCTGGCCGCTTTGCTTTTACCACACCTGTACTGCCGCCCGCCTCTCACCCCCCGTTTCCCTGCAGGCTAGCGATACGGTCACCCACCGCTGGACAGTGTACCTCAAGTCGGCTAATAATGAGGACATCAGCCATATCGTGCAGAAGGTGAAGAACATGACCAGCCCATGGGATGGGGTTATACCGTTTGGCCGATGTGGGGTGGACTGTGCGAAAACCAATCATGTCTTCGGTCCATAGGCGAAGGGCCGAAATGGTGTTATCCATTTCCTCCGTCTGAGGCAGCGTCCGGCTGTTAGATAGTCCAGTTGTGCTTCAGTAGAAGTTCCGATAGAAGCATGCAACTAGCAGTGCTGCGTTGCTGTCCAAAGGCAGTTCAAAATAATTGTGTTGCGAATTCTTCACCAAATTAAATGCTCTCAGCGGTTTAGTCGCTTCCTTCCTTCCTTGCAGAGTTAACCAGATCCCGCACCTTGGTGGTCTGTTATGGCGCAGGTGACCTTCGAGCTGCACCACACGTTCAACAACCCGCACCGAGTGGTGCTACAGCCACCGTACGAGGTGACGGAGCAAGGCTGGGGCGAGTTTGACATCAATGTTACGGTGGGGGCCCGGCGGCCGACAAGGTCATGTGTCTGAAAAGTCGGTGATGCTTGGAACACGTCCGGGTTGGGCCACTGGGGCCACGCGGCCCTGTTAGACACCGGGTTGAAAGGCCAGGGCAGAGCGAGATGGATCGCATAATGGCTTCTGACGACGGTTTCCAAAGGGACCAGTGGCGCGGGTTAAAACTTGGGGAAAGGAAGTGAACGTTAATGGTGTGCTTTAATGATCTAACCGGGTGCGCCAGCGCATTTTGTATCAGTCACATCTTGACAATCGGGCTGATAAGCCGATACGAAGCCATAGGGGCATCTGCTATCACGGATGACCCCTGCCTACTCTACCCGTGCTCGATGCCGTGTCGTATATCCTGCCTTGCCTTGTCCGACAGCTGATCAAGCAGTGCTGGCAGCTCGTCCTAGCGCAGTCTTTTTGCCGCTCTGGATTGCCGGATCTACTTGGTGCGGTGTATGCCATCCTGGCGCCTTACCGAGTCAGCCAGACGATCGAGCTGCAAAGTGCAAACCCCGTGCGGCGTTAAGGAAGGAAGCGATTGCAGAATATCCCGAATGTCCCGAGAGGGGAGCGAGATTCGCAGAAATCTTGCGTGTGTTTTCCAGCTTAACATAACATATGCCATGGAGTCCCACGCAAATCATGTATTGTAAGCAGGTGCTGCCCGAGCCCCACGCCTGCCGCCTCTCTTTCCTCGCCGTCCGCAGCTGAGCTTCACGCCCGACAGTCGAGAAAAGGATGTATCCATCCTGCATCGGCTTAAGCTGTACGAGAATGAAAGCACACCCAATACGACGAAAAAGCCGGTTATGAGCGAGGTATGTCAGTGTGCTGGTAGGGGCCTGCGCAGTCCCGCGCAACTCGTAGCAAATTACCAGCTCGGCTTGGCCGGGGCAGCTCCCTGGCAAAGAGCTGATCTTAGAACGGTCTTGACGCATTTGTGCCGGGATGCTGATGTGGGGCCTGTCCTGTGTAACGGTTCAGCTGTGCGACTGTGCAGCGTCATGCCGCTGTACATCAACACGGCCGTGTAGGTTAATGCACGGCAGTGACCTTGGCACTGTGCCATGCACCGGCCTCTATGTCGATTTCAAGCAAGTTTACTTGGATTGAATTCGGCTCCCCGTTATCGACAGAAGCCATTGAGGTATATCGATGCCTTTCACTTTTTTTCCGGCGGTCCAGGTGTACGAGGAGCTGGTGTTCAGCGAGCCCGTTGAGGCCTTCTTTAGGCGAGTCACGTCTACGATGCCGCGGCCTGCTCCCGAACTCAGTTGCCAGCCCTACACGTCGCAGTATGACGAGCGGGAGGAGCTGGATAAGCTCAAAGAGTGCCGCGCGCGGGTGGCCGCCATGGTGTCGGACGTGCGGAAGGACTTTGAAGGCGTGCGCTAGCTACTGTGGGACCATACCTAGTCGGATTGGATGCTATCCTTGGCCTGTCAGTTGCTAGCGCCGATACCTAAATGTCTGCTGCATGCAATAGCTTAGTGCCGTGGGCGCGTATCCCGAGATATTAACGTGACATGTAGGGGGCAGAATCCTGCATTTACTACCCTGCAAATAATTGCTACCCAGGTATGTTGGCTCTTGAAACGAGCGCAGGCCCGTCAAGTTTACGGGCATCATGGCTGTGATTGTCGTTTCGCGCGCCTGCAAGGGGCAGCCGGTGTTGTTGCCAAGGGGAGTTCAGGATGTGAGCATACGTAGTCAACCACCCGGCTGTTGCACTTGGCCACGCGGACAGAGGCATTCCTGCGGTGGACTTAATTGTTCGTGCAGTGAGTCCAACCTGCCAATTGCAAATTTATATGCTTATTCCGTGCATTCGCGTATCACGGGCGCCACAGCAGTAAGATCTGCGTGAACTTGGTGGCGAAGGCGAAGGCGTTGTTGACGGCCGGGTTGGCCAGATGGTCGTTCAGGTTCTCAATGGGCCCCTTGCCGGTCACAATGGCCTGCACGAAGAAGCCGAACATGGAGAACATGGCCAGGCGGCCGTTCTTGATCTCCTTGACCTTGAGCTCGGCGAAGGTGTCCGGGTCGTCAGCCAGGCCCAGGGGGTCGAACGACTCGCCGGGGTACAGCGGGTCCAGGCCCTCGCCGGCCGGGCCGCCGTTCACACGGTAGCCCTCCACCAGGCCCATCAGGATCACCTGCGCGGCACGTGAGCAGCGAGAGCGGGGGAGAAGACAGCGGTCAATACGGATAAGCAACACGCCATCTAACGCGTCGTCTGCTCGCTTGGGGTTACGCTGCAATAAAACCAAGCTGGATAGGAAACGAGACACCCAGATTCCTGGATGTGCGATATCGCACAATGCTCACATGCCACAAGGCTCAAACTAGGCATCCAAAGCCAAGCTGAATGTAAGAGCGCGCAAAAGGCAGGGGAGCTTACCACAGTCAAGCGCTGGCAGAGAACAGCTGCCGCGCCTCACCTTGTTTCACCTAGCCAGCTAACAAGTAAGGCGACCGGACACATTCCTAAGCATGCAGCCACGTCCCTCCCGCCCACCTGGCACGCCAGCGTCGCGACGATGTTCTGAGCGTGCACCAGCGACGGGTTGCCCAGGTAGTCCAGGCCGCCCTCCTGGAAGATCTGAGCGCCGGCCTTGAACCACACAGCCTCACCGAACTGCACGCCGTTCTTGGACAGCAGCTCGGGGGTCAGGCAGCCCAGAGCGCATGGATCAGCTCCAGCTCGCGGTAGCGCTTGAACGTCTCCGGGTCAGCGGACAGGCCGGCAGTGTCCCAGCCGTAGTCACCGGGGAACTCGCCAGTCAGGTAGGCAGGGATGGGTGGCCAGTGCGCCTCAGCCCGGGGCAGTGGCAGCCCTTAGGCAACGGCAAGGCACATCCTCATGCCGGTACAGTGCCATAAAATGTGAACACCGAAACCAACCCTGCTGCACCCTGCCACGCGCAAGATGTATATCGTGGCGGCCTTTACCCGCCCTTACCATCATTACTTCATATCTGCACTTCTCAACGTTCCTTGTGCTCTTTCTCTGGCATCGATACATTTCGCACATGCGCACCAGTTGGGGACTATATGTGTACGAAATGTTCAATACCGGCACAAGAGTACACGGAACCCAGCCAGGCCACCTTTTCAAAGGCCTGGCTTGAAATTTTACCGTCTTTTACAAGTCCTTTCGTGCTGCATGGGAACGCTAAAAGGATAGTTACATGGAAAAAATGTCACACTTGCGTAGTTGGAAACCGCGCGTGAGACCCCAACAGTTGTCTCGCGCGAATGTGTATAAGCGCACGATTTATTTTGGGGGCTTGATGTGAACGTCACCGTACTATCCCATGTCATGGCAAACCTTACGAGATTGTCGGCAGGAGCGCGCTTGAAAATCACTACCCCCATACTTGACCGCAAGGCCATATGATGGCATGCATAGCAAAAAACACCCACGACCTTATCCAAGCTCCTGTACTCAGACCATTCAGACCCCTGCCCAACCTGCGCCCATCTTATGCTTGTGCCCAAGGAGGACTTGTGGCAATGAGGGCTGTGGCCGCAGTGCACCCACTTCAGTAGCCCTCATTCTTCCCCCACGACGACAGACATGAGGCCTGTCCAACGCACCGAACGGGAAGGAGCAATCATGGCCAGCGGTGGCCACAATTGCAGCAGTGGCCAGTAGGGTTACGCCTATCCGTGCACTAGATATGCATGGAGGCAGTCAGTGAAGCCCCGCCTGCACACATACGCCCAATCAATGCTCTGCATGCTAACTAAGCACTGCGCAAACCTAGGACCAACAACAATAGAGCACACTTTTAAAGCATTCGACTCGCAACGTCGACATCCCATCAGCATTTAGCTACAAGCCGGCTCGTCACGCGTCACGTCGGACCACCAAACCCTCTAGGACCAGCCCACTCCCTGGGCCTTGCTGACTCGGAGGTCACAGTCCGCTTTCCGCCAGCTTTAAACGACGTTCCCGCGACAGCATTAGTCCTGAGCCCGCACCTACTGTCGCTGACAGATCTAACGCTCCCGGTGGCATAGTCGTACTGCCAGTGCCGGTCCTGGGGCTCCCAAGGATCTGAGGCTGTGGCGGGGAGCGGAAGGCTGCTGTGCTCCCTGCATCCCGCCCAAAAGGCTGTAACACCCGGGAGCCTTCCGGGGAAGGCGCAATAGGCCCTATGCTGGACAGTGATGGCTGGCTGTACACACTGTACGTCTGACGGAAGCTGCTCTGCAAGCCTCCGCCGGTGCTGGTAGCGGGCAATGATGCGCGTGGCTCGATGCGGCTGCCTGAAATAATCCCAACATACGCGTGCGGTGGACTACCGTCTGGGACAACTGGAGTCAGCACATTCGAAGCGACTGCAGCAATGGTGCTGGGACGGGCTCGCAGCGGAGAGGTTGTGGGGTATGAGAGCGTGGTGCTCAGCGTGTAGCTGCCGGATGTGCCAGGAGGGACTGCAGCCACGCTCAAGGACCGTTGCCTGCCTGGTTGCTGAGCAAGCCGCTGTTCCAAGCCGTGCAACGTACTCCGCAAGTTTGCCTGCTGCGTGGACAGGGTTGTCATGTCTTGTGCCAGGTTACCTGGAGCCGTATGAAGAGCATGGGACGATGGCGCACGCACGAACGCAGCCGGTGGGGATGTCTCCACCGCTACGGGCGTCGAATGTTCGCCAATGGGCGTGCTTGTCCCGGGGCTGGTAGCCGTTACGGTTGGCGTGGCCTGCAGGGGCAAGACCGCAAGTCACTAGCCTTGGACTAAAAGGGCTCGAACAAGACAATCCAGAAAGTTGATTGGCGGTGTACTAGACAACAGGTACACGGTTCCTTAACCGCAGTGGCCTAAGCACTGACCTGCCGGGCATCTGCAGGTTTTGAGGTTAAGGACATGCCCAGCAGCGGCGGTGACACTTGGCTGGCCGTCGGGCCAGTCAGAGCCGTCCCACTGGAAGACGCCACAGCCTGAAAATCTGGCCTTCCGGCTGCCGTTATAGCCTGATGAGTCAGGTGGTGGCGTAACTCGTCCAGGACTGCCTGCCGGTTCGCCAGCTGTGCTGTCAGGAGAGTACGGTCCTCACGTGCGCTATTCAACTGATCCTGCACAGCCGGCAGACATAGGAACGGAAGGACGGTGGACGGGTAGGGCTGGACACAGGATTGTGTTGTGACCGACCAGGAGCACGGACTGAGCGCGGAGCATCCGTGCATGGATGCAGCCCTTTGCAACAACGGGTTTGATAAGTCATCGTGAACTGCTAAAAAACATGGACTTTTATCACTCAGGCTGGGTCTGTCTTATGCACAGCTTTCGCATAACCGTAAATGCGCCTGTCCCTATGGACCATACCAGAGCTGCTTCCAGGGACTCGACCAGCGCTGCTCCTTGCCGCGCCAGCAGCGCCGCAAGCGCGTTAATGTCATCTGGCAGAGCGCTGCTGCCGGGCATTGTGCGCGGGCTGGTGGTCAGCACCGTGGCTGAGAGAGGCTGCAGGTCCAAGGCGATGCAGCGGCGTAGCGCTATGCCGAGGTCCTGTGACCGCAGCGGATCAACATAACATGCATACATAGGCAACAGGTAACAGGCCCGTAACCTTAATGCGCTCGTGAGTGGCAATCATCCGCAATCGACGCGGTGAAAGAAAATCGTGCTGCCGATAAAGCCTTCACTGTCAGGGGACGGGGTGGACATAAAGACCTGCTGCAATCGACCAAACAAGTGCAAACACAGACTGCTTGCGACTTCAGGGCCACCTTTCCTAGGCCTTATTGTCAACGCATTACAGCCGCTGCCAAACCGAAGGTGGTTGATGAGACCACCTGAAGCCCCTAGCATGCATATCGACTGACTCACAGCGCTATGCATCTGATTTTATATGCAGAACAACCACAGGGAGCAAGGCAAGTCGATAGGTTATCATGGAGGGGGCCACACCGCCGCAGTTTGAGGAGTACGCAATCGCAATGGTCGATCCATCACTATAAAACCCTAAGTTCCATCTGTAAATGTCATCGATGGACTGTATCCACAACGAAACAAACATCACAACAATAAACACGAGAAAATTTTATCTCGGCGAAACGGAAAAGGACGCAAGAAAACTTCTTTTGTAACCGACCCACGCACCGCTGAAAGACGGCCGAGGCGATGGGAAGCTGCTTCAAGTTGCACCTGTCCTTGAACCTGCTCTTCCGTGCGACGCTTTTGCTCCGCCACTAGCTGCTCGCGGAGTCGCCGTACTGCTTCTTTCTTTGAAAGGTAGCGCGTGTGAAGATCCTCGCTGACGTTGCGCCACTGCTCCAACTGCAATTGCAGGCTGTTAATGGTCGCCGCGCTTACGAATTCGGCACCGCTGGGACCAGTTAGGCCATGAGGCGGCGGGCTACTCGCAGCATGCCCTAGATCTACGGCAGCAGCGGCAGTTGGGCCCCTCGCATACTCCAGCTCCTGCAACAGGCGGGCATTCTGGCGGTGCACAAAGCACATGCCAGCGAAAGAGGACCGTATCTACCACCAAACCTAACCTCAACTTTTCCAATGGCTTTAGTTAAACTGTTCACTGGCTCACAAAAGGACTGCATGAATAAGCATGCTGACGGCAACCAACCTCCTCGTCCTTCTCAATCAGTTGTTGCTCAAGGGTAATAGCACCCGCCGCATGACGTCGTGGGGATTGCTGCTGCGAGGACCGTTGCCTGCCTGCGTCCGGCGCCTGACCTAACTTTGGCGTCGATGACGCAGCCTCGTCTGAACTAAGCCGCGTTTCCAAGGCCGCAACCTGCATACATGAGGATCAGACATTGGCGGTGTTGCACCTTTCACGGCGGCCCTCTCCACCACGTCATGGCCTCCAGGCATGTATCAGAAAATGCGATTTATTTGAGTATTTGCAGTGCAAAGCCAGCCTAGGTAAACTCAGCAAGAGCACCATGTTATCGGGACACCCTGTCCAGGATACCTCACGGAAGGCGCATCCATACACAACACAAGTCCATCACCTGTTTCTCAAGGCGGCGTATCGTGAATTCGCTATCCGCAAACTTGCTCTGCAGCGCCGCAACAGTGCCGTGGTATTTGTCAAGGTCATTGTCCGCTGCGGAATCCCCGCCCCCGGCTCCGGTATCATTGGTTACGAGCCGTGGTGACAACGTTGTCGGTTGCACATTCTGTGCACGGCATAGCAGCGGAGTGAAACAGCGTCATGAAACAGCAAACTGCGGCCATCATATAATAGTTCCACCGGCAGGACAACTTCCCATGATGACACGTGCGCGAAACCCAGTCGCCGTTTACCCCGTATACATCGGCGCACGACGGCTGTTGGCGGATGTGGATCCGTCCTTGAGCGGTTTCACGCATCGAGAGCTTAAAACATTGCAAATTGTCTGTAGAGATAACTAGGACACCAGCTTCATTACAACCAAGGCATTCATGAATCCACACATGAGGCCTAAGCAATATCTAATACACCGAAGGGGCCACTTCTCCATGCCAGAACACAACCAAGCTTCCCACACAGCACCCTAGTTCGCAATTCCCCCAAACTCACCTGCTGGGTCACTTGCAGAGCTAGTTTGAGCGCATCCACGGTCTCCTGTAGAGTTATCAACGAGCGGTCCTTCGCAGCCATGAGCTCCCCTTTCACCGACAGCTCAACATTCGCCGCCTGCAGGTCCGCGCGTGCTGCCTGCAGCTCGGAGCGGGAGGCTTGTAGCTGGCCCCGCAAGGCCTCGACCTGCGCCTCCAAATCCCGGCGGCCAAGCTCCCCCGAGCGAAACTGGCTCATCTCCGCCTGTAGCGCCGCACATTCCGCCAACAGTTGCGCGCGTTCAGTGCGCAGCACCGCCACTTGCTCCGCGATCCATTCGTCCGCCTGCGCCTTCACCCCTTGCGTGGGCTGCGGCACTGCAGCAACATCTCCGTCGAGCTTGCGGCGCAGCTCCAACACCTCGTCATGCAGCGCGTCGCGCGCCAGCTCCGCAGCACGCAGGCGATCCTCCAGGACAGCGTCGGCAACACCACTCAGCCTTCGGGTTGCACCCACTTCTTCTTGGAGTTCTTCATCCGCATGCTGCATTGTCCCGGACCCCTTGTCCGCAGTGCTTGCGCGCTGCCCTCCGGTAATTATGTGACGCTCCTCCAGATTGCTGCCGTGAGATGCACGAGGTGCGCCGCAGCTGAGGGTCGCGTCTGCCAGCTCGCTCTGCAGTTCCGTGAGACGCGCTTCCAGCTCCTGCACCCGTTGCTGTGCTTCGATGGCTGCTGCCTGCGCGGCCAGCAGCTCCGCCGACGTCACCTCGGCAGTGCTAGCGGTCTCTGTGACGGTATCATGCCGATGGTATTCCGCCTCCGCCAGCGCCGCCTCCATCTTGGCGGCCTGCTCACCACGCGTCTGCGCCAGGGAGGCTTGCGCTTCCAGCTCATACTCCAGGAAGTCTACCTGGCCGCGCAGCTGCGCCTGCACGTTGTCCTCGGCTGATAGGGCCGTGCGGAGGTCACGCGCTTCAGCCTGTAGCCCTGCAGCGTAGGCCCGCAGCCTCGAGATCTCCTCCCGCGCCTCGGCCGCAGCCGCTGCTGCCTCCTCTGCTCGTTCGCGCCAAAAACTGGCATCCGAGCGTGCCTTCTCCACCTCGTCCATCAAACCCATGATCCTGTCTTTCAGTGCATTTATTTCCTCAACGGCCTGGACCAGCTTGGTCTCGGTGGAGTCCCGCGCCTGCTGCATGTTCTCCAGAACCGATTGCAGGTCCCCAACTTGGGCTTGTGTCTGCGACGCCTCGGCTGCCAGCACCGAGACTGAAGCGCGCACATCCTCCAGCTTGGCCTCAGCGCTTGCCAGTTCGCGCGTCCTATCCTCAATCAACCGTTGGAGCCGCTCACACTCACTGCTCTTCAACTTTAGCACCTGCACATGGAAACCAAGGCATACATTCGTAGTTCTGAGGGCAGAGTTGGCATCAGCTACGACTTATCTTCATGATAGCAAGCCGTAAGCAGTTTGTTTCCACACGTACCCCCTGCGCATAGCCGCGCACAGCTGATCCCAACCGGATTAGGCTGTACAAATTTCCTTACCCAGTCACGCTGCGCACCTCTTGGATTTCAACAATGGCAAGTGCAGCATCCTGACCAGGGCCAAGTTGCTCCGCAGCGGCTACGGTTTGTTGCTCCGCAGCCTTCCAGCGCAGACACACCAGTGTTCGCGGGGGGTTAGGGAAGTAAGGGACAGACGGCCCAGGCAGTCAAGCCAAATGACTTCAGGCGCCGCGTACATGCGGCGCTTACTCTCTTCGCTAGTCAGCCACCGGACCATTGCAACTATATGTATCATGCATTAGTGTGCTTACAAAATCGTGCTGATATGCAGGTATGCGTTTATACCGCGACCCCGTGTCTTTAGGAGAGACTGACCCCAGGATGCTGTCCTAACCAACTCGACCCCGTAGCTGAAGTACATGCATGGCGCTGGTGCGCTGTCGGCACAGTGCACAAGCGGATTGAGCTCCTGCACAGCTCCAGGAGTGCGTCGCCATGCCACGTTACCGTGCAACAGTAGTCGCTGCTCTCTTAACGCTCACCGAATTTGCATTCTCAGCTGTACGCAACGCAGAAGTCAAGGCGTTGCGTGCATGCTGCAGCTTTTCCTCCAGTGTGTTCTTCTCGCCCAATTCCTTGTTGAATGCGGTCTGCATGCGAATGTTACGATTCCTTAGGAGGAGCCCATTGACTGCATCCCAGCCTCCGCAAGAGGTGCACCGCCGCATACCTTCAACTCATCCCGCTCAACCTCACAAGCTAGTAGCTGCCGCTGAAGCTCCTCTATTAAGCTCTTCTTTCCCTCAACAGCCGCCTGCTCTGCCTCCAAGGCACGCCGGTTCTCCTCGCGGCAGCCATCTGCCGCCGCCAAGTCCGCCACCGTCAACGCCAGCTCCTGCCTTAGGTCGGCAACCTGCATCCGGAGCACAGCGCTCTGCTGCTCGTGCAACGCCACGGCCGCCTCCGCCTCCGCGGTCCTCCTCTCCAGGGCGTCACGTACCTCCGCCAGCTCCTGTCGCAATTGCTCCACGAGTAGCTGGTTAGGCATGTCTTGAGGGTTCTCTGCAGCGCTCCGAGTTGCAATCATTCCCGGGCCCCGGCCAACATCCCCGGACATACAAATCGTTGCATCCTCCGGCTGCCGCTGAAGGCTGGCGCACCCTCTCAAAGCCGCATCATGCTCGGCCTGCAGTTCTTGCACCTGACCTGACGCCGCGTCGGCCGGCGTTAGCTCCATCGCGGCCTGGTCAGTTGGGAGTAATTTCATGGAAAGGTCGGCAGCTTCTGGAGCACGGTCATGCAGACCGCCCAGAACAATAGAACTCCCCGATGAGGCCCTGCGAAGTTGCTCCAACTCTGCCTTGAGCGACGTAATTGTGATCAGCAGCATTTTGCGTTCCATCGCCCATGCCTTGTTGTCAGCAGAGGACACATGCTCTGCTACTGGGTCTACGCCGACTGCCTCCTCCTGTCCGCCGTCGCGGCTGCCTCGAAGCTGACTCCGTAGCCTACGTACATCAGCATTCAGCGTAGCCACAGTAGATTCCAGGTCGGCGGCTTGGTCACGTGCTGCCGCCGCCTTGTCTTCTGCGGCCCGCAGCTGGCGCCGCAGCTCGGCCTCCATATTTTTGGCGTCCGGCCCGTCCAGGTAATGGCCCACCATGCTTCGCTCCAGCCCCGGCGTGGCCTGTGCCTGCGCGGTGCGTGCTTCCTGCAACGCCTGTCGCAACTGCCCGCGCTCTGCCTGCCAGGCTGCCCGCTCCTGCGTCTTCTGCTGGGCAGTGTGCTCCATGAACTTCAGTTGTTGCTGCGCAACCGATGCCTTCCAGGCGGCATCACAACCCCAAGTGACAATTTTTTGCAACTTTAAGAGCATAACCTTCTCTGTACCCGCATCAAGAGTTTCCTTGCCCTTGTGCAGCTCCTGGGCATCCCGCAGGCCGGGCGGTGCTGGCCCGCCCGATCGGGCCACCTGAAGCTGTGCCTGTGTCAAGATGTCGCGGTACAAGGTCAGCCGAGCCGGCCCCTCCAGGCCCTGCGCCTGGGGGTGTGGAGGCAGCGAGTGCACCAAGCCTCCCTCCGGAGCCCCTCCAGTCGACGGCTGTGCCTCATGTGGAGCCTGTGATAGGCCCACAGACCCCGGCAGCGAACCTGCGCCCAAGCTCCCGGCCATGTCCCGCTGCCGCGATGCCTGTTCGCTGGGCCCAAGGCTGTTGCTTGGCGGCACCGCGGCCACGCTCCCGGTGGCACCGGCATCCGACTGGCTTCGGCAGTAACGGGCTTTAGTGGCCGCAGTGCTAGCATCGCCGCGGTGTGCCCGCAGCTCGTTTAGCTGTTGCTCCAAGCGCGTTGTAAGGTCAGTGTATTTGCGGAGCTCTCCTCTGAGGCCGGCCACGAGGGTGTTCTTCTGACCTAGCTCCTCCCGCAGCGTCTGACACGGTCCAGGAACCGAGAGAGACATTAAGACCAAGGACCATGTTATAAGCCAAGTGAAAGACGTCTGCAATGGAAGACGTTCGGTGCAGCGAGACAGCATCTTTGCTCATTAAGTATCATCGGCGTCAGAAAGGCTTGCTTACCTCAAGTTCATCCACCAGACGCTCATCGGCCACGCTCTGCGCACTGCTACTCCTGCCACTACCGTCTGAGCCGCTGTCAACACCTTCCAGCCGCGGGCTACAAGAGGCAAGCGGTGGTGCCAAGAGCTGCCCATCATTCGACTGATGCGTCGGGAGAATACAAGACACGGGACAGATAAGGGAAGGCATCCGGAGGTTAACACGGGCACCACGCCGCTGTCTTATTGACCCTCGGAGCCGAAGTTGATCACTACCATGCTGAAACACTCACCGAACGCAACACCACAATTTTGCATCAACACAAACAGGTTCGTAACAGGTTCGTAACAAAGCATCGGTGGCCATTAATGCCCCATCCCTGTTGCATTCCTACAGTCGGGCAGTACCTTGCGTGGGGCAATAAGGCTCCGAGGTTTCGGCTGTGCGGAAACGCCGCTTCCATCCGTCGACCTGCTCATATGGATAACATTAGGTTAGCGACATGGAGAGGCTGGCCCAGATTCCCAAACGGGTACAGCATCATGGGGAGCGCGGCAGTCGCAACACGACCTTTCAGCAAGCACAGGATGCATCCCGGTGATTTGTGACACTCAGCATCCTACCTGCTCCATGCGGGCCCGCCTCGGAAAGGCACGCCCAAGTTCGGCTCGCTTCTGGCCAACATATCCAGGTCCACAACGTCCACCGACCGACGGTGCCGTGGCCGCCAGCTACCCGATTCATCTGCTTCCATCGTCGATGACAAGTCAAGCGCATCCTTGCCGCGTGACAGCTCGACATCCCGACAGGCTTTGTTATCTGTCGGATAACGCGGCTGGATGATGGAACGGTCGCGAAGCAAGTCCTCCAGATCTCCATCGCCATCCTCGTCCATCTCCTCTTTGTCATCCTCTGCAACAGCAGATTGGTGCTGCCGGGTATCCCCTTGCGCGTAACCGGTGCTACTGCCGATGCCCCCGCGGCGCACGGCATGATGCCGACCGCCCACGCCCATTTCCATTAGGCCAGCTGCAGCTGACGCCTCCTGCTCAGCGCAACCAAAAGGATTGTTGATACTTGAAGCACCGGGCCTGCCAGCGCGTCGTTCTGGGCGATTGCTGCCTGGATTTAAGTGATGGCGATATGCCAGGAGGTCCGTGCGCTCCACTTTTGGTCCGATAGCACCGCCCCCTCCATGCCGCTCAGCCATCAGCTTCGCCTGGCGCTGCGCCTCCGCTTGCAGGGCAGCTTGCCGTATAGCTGCTAGCGATTGGCCAGTCCCACGGAAGGTCGAGTTCAGGTCACTGCCAGCGTTGCTGCTGGCGCCAGGACTGCTGCCTGTGACTGTCGTTGCCATTGAATGCATGCTCCCACTGCAGCTGCTACCCCCGTTAACAACATCAGATTTATTGGTCTCTGATGCAAGCGAAGCTGGTGCCGCACGTGTGGTAGCGCCTTCCAAACCGGATGCTGTTGCATTACCAGCTGTTGTGGCTTTCAGATCCGCTTCATCAAATGGCAAATCGTTATCAAGGGCGTTGTCTGAGGCATCACAGGACCGAGCCGCATTATAAGCCAGGTAGCGGGGTCGCGGAAGTTGCAGCGCAGTGATGTTGTTTGCGTCCGTCATCCGGCCGTTGGACCGAGCATCAGCAAAGCCGTTTACAGTAAGCGCAGGTGAAGGCTCGTGTGTTGTACTCGCGCTGACTGCCCCGAATGAATAAATTCCAGACGCCTCGACGGTTGTGGAGGTGTATTGCGACACAGGTGCCGCAACATTGCCGCGGTAATTGCCATCCTGAGCAAAGCCAAGGCGTGTGTGGTTCCAGCCACCCAGAATGCATTCTGGCTCATCCGCACCCCCGCTGCCGCTGTCATCCACCTCCTCCAAGCTATCATCCGCTTCCTCGTCAACAAGATCATCGTCGTAATCATCCGACTCCTCCCCGCACGTAGCAATTGCCGGCGGATTTTCGCTAAGCATTGCAGCTGCGCCGATGGGCATCCCACGTATCTCTCCCGAAAAAGGGAGGCACGACCGACTGTCTTGATGCGTTGTGGTTTCCAGGATGCGTGTCCCTCCGTCATCGTTGGAGGTCGCAGGTTGGATATCAGCGCCAAGAAACCTCTCCAGCACGGCATGGCGGGGTGTGCTGCTAAGGCCCACCTCAGGCGATAGTTGATGGGCGTCGCCATCGCCTTCCTCTTCAGTGGTTACCTTTTGAAACTCAAGGCCATGCATATCTTGCTGAAGGACGCTGTTAAACTGCTCTTTGCTAATCCCTAGCCGAGAGGTGTCATCTGCAGGGACGCTGCTGCTTGGCACACCAGTGTCGGCACCGTCGCTTGGGACCGGATCTGATGCCTGCAGGACTTCAACTTCCCAAGTCGCCAAAGCATCGTCCACATCTATCTCTGCACACGCCACATACCCACCGTCTGACGGGCTGGCAAGGCACTCGTTACTCCGTAACAGAGACGAACGGCCTGCCGCCGTTACCTCATCCACTGCCCTGATGCCGCTCTCCATGCCGCTAACCTCAGGCTCAGGCAGGGCGCCAAGGTCGCCTTCTTGCGCCATGTCTCCATCCACCCCGAAGATGCTGCTGTTTAATTCCTCCTCCTCCTCCTCCTCACCTTCTCCATCCTCCAGTGAATCATCTATGACGATGGGTACTAGGCCCAGGCCAGGTACAAAGGTCAATGCGACGCGTGGTGATCGAGGGCTCCCCGCCGCCCCTTGCCCGTTGCTGCTGCGCGCTCCGGCTTCCTGCTCATCGTTAGCCTCCGTGTCCGCATTCTGTGCAGCCTCGGCACTTCGGTCTGCGCAATCTGCACCCGCCTCTGCGGAAGGGCCCTTAAAAGCTGATTTCGGAGATGGCGAATGTTGCCTAAGCTCCGACCTTGGTGACGTTCGCATTGGGATGCCACTGCCAGAGAGGGCGTATGTGCTACCTGCAAGTTTTTCCCAAAATCCGCAGGAGACGACCTATGATGTGCCTTGAGAGATTTGGCACGACGGCAAAACTAAGCTACTCTTCCCGGTACGGCAGCCACTGAGCAGCAATAGTCGAAGAGGTCTTGTTAGATAGCAACCTTAAGACACGGACCACGACCGCATGCGCAGCGCGCGTGTGATGTATTGCCTACGAACATGGGAATGGCCGCTCATTTCACTGGACAACATCCCCTAACGCCCCGAGATGGCATTCAGGTATACCAATCCCCAACCAAACCTCCACTCGGGGATTTCATGCCAAGGGGAAGGCAATGGTACGGCGCTGGCGCACCTGGGAGCATGCTGACAAGCTGCTCCAGCGCCAAGCCCGACATTGGAAGGGGCGGCGGTCGCTGCGTGAGGTCGATGTGGATAATGTCGGAGCCGCTGGACTCGCTAGATGGAGGCTCATCTGTTGGCAGCTCTTCATCCCCGTGCTCTGCCATGTCGCGGTCACGTGGGCTCGTCGACCTGGGAGTGCCCTCGCCGTCCGGCTCGCCGCGGTCACCAGGCGAGAGCGCTCCCGTGCTTGGGGCTGCGAACTCTCGCAGAGCCTCATCAATATCAATCTCGAAAGTATCCGCTGACATCGCAGAGTTGGGTGAGCCGTTAAAGGCTAGGGATGACATGTTAATATGGACGGCAGCCTGGGTATGCCAGGCTCTCGTCACCTGCAAACCATAGCCGGGCGAGAAAGGCACGGATACTTTTCAGGTACTTCGCAGGGATCCTGAAACCCGATGCTTCATAACAACCTATGTGGGGATTGCCGTTCCGGTTGGCGGTTACGAACGCCGTCTCGCCCGGCATGCGTGCTCCGCAGCGTCAGCATGCAGACCAGGCAAACCCTGAGAACTTGGTAAACAGCTCCATTCAAGTTTCGTCCAGATAACGAGAATGTATCGTTCAAATTTAGCAAGTGTTGCTTTGCTCCAGTTGAAGCAGCACAAGCTACGGAATTGACCTACGGACGACACTGAACGCTCTAGTCCATCATTATCCTAACTCAGTAATAGCGTTCTTACATTCCAGGGTTTCGAGATGCTGCGAGACCTCCTCACACTTCCCAGCCAGAGGACGAAATGTGCCGCGAAAGTAAGAGCCCAGAGGCAGGATACCCAAGCACCTCAGCAATGCTGTCGGAACATCTATGTAATGCAAGGTCTAAGATAAGAGCGCATCCTCCTCATTGTTCAATTCATGTGGCCGTTTTGCCAAGTGCGGAGCTACCGGAAACAGCAAATTGTTGCATAAGCATGCAGGGTCTTTTTGTATCGTTGATCTCCCTCTGCATGGTCGTAAACTTCCTTTACTTGGGCCGATGTTTGGTTCAACACAAGCCCGTACGTTTGACTACGCCCACTTGACCGCGTAAGGGTTGGATGTCAAACCCAATACCTCAGTTACTTATTAAGCAGCAGTATTATAACGGATATGCAACACCACGCTACGCATGGCACGCTCATATTTGGTGGTAATGACAGGTCTTCTACAAGGCCGAGAGGCCGCGAGCTTACCAAGGACGAAAGCGAAGGGATATTGTATGCATTTGAGACCCTAGATGCAGAAAGAACGGGTTATGTAAGCCGGAAGCAACTAAAGGTATGTCACTACCTGTGGTCGGGTGACTTGATGGTGCACCTACTGCACCGCTTCATAACCTACATGCTCTCAGGTCGCACTAAGGGCACTGGGCTTTGGCGTTAAAAAGGCGGATGTCATGGAGCTTCTCTCCCGACACGGTGAGGAGCACACTGAGCGCTTGGATTTCCAGGTGCGCACACGCATGGCGACCTGTCGAAGGAGTTTTACCTAATTGCTCAGCGGATGCTCTGCCAATGCTTGGATAAAGGGGCTGGGGGCTAAGGAAGGACAGCCGGGGCTGTCCTTCTGCTTGGAGCTTGGGCAGTTTTGAACACAGGCGATTGGGGCAGCGCATGACATATCAAAGCACATTATACGAACTTTATTAAGCACGCTGCCTGCCTTGCATGAGCAGCAGATGTCGTTAGGGGAAACCGTGGGTCCGGCGCGCATCCCAAGCAAGTGGCTTCCAACTCAATTATCTCTTTTACGAGATGCCAACACAATAAGAGCGAAGCAATAGAACTGTACGTGAATAAGTGCGTATACCGGCATACGGATGTAGTTGCGGGCAACCCTTGACCGCTGAACCGTTTTAGTTGCAGCAACGGAAAAGCCCATGGTTGAAATGACGGATGACGTTGCGTGCGCAGGTTGGGAAAATATCATATAGGCAAATATTCGGAAGGCCCCTGACCAACATACTCTTGACTTTGCCATTGTTTCGTTGCAGATGCACTTTGTGGTGTACTTCTGGCCATAGTTTACAGTCAGTTACTCCGTACTCGCAGAATTTGCGTGGTTAGACGCAGACAGTTAGTGACGGCCGAGCTCATATATATACATATATATGTATACACCAAGACTTGCCTGCAAAATAGTATGAAGCTCAGCACATGCAGATGTCGCATGGATCTCCCGAGTCGACCCTTGTTCCGCTACGCTGCAGACGTTTCGCAAGCTCGTCGCGGACCAGCTTTCGCAACGGAGCGTGCTTGACGAGCATCGTCGGGCTTTCCAGCTTTTCGACGTTCTAGGGCAGGGCGCGATCGATTTCATTACACTAAAGCGTGTCGCCCGAAGCCTGAACCTAGACATTCCGGACGAGGAGCTCCAGGTAGGAAATGGTAGCTTGCAATAACCTGTGCCCATGCATGGATGCATTAAGCAAGTAGCAACGCGTGCTTGAGACATAGGGGCCATAGGGCGTGTACTTGGGCGCGATCCTCGTGCCACCAATGCAGCGGTCCTGCGCCGCATAGACTCACAACATTAGTATTAAGACTTGTTACAATATAGCCCATGCGCGCATTGCTCGGGGAAAAAGATCGTCCGGTTTAATGTGCCATTCGCTCGCGTGCCTGGAGCTGCACTGACAAGGACACCAAGCGTAACGGAAGGCTTGCAGTACATGCACACCTTTGTTCCACTCCCACCGTGTCCACTGCCAACTAGCTTGGCAGGCCCTATACTCAAAATGTCGTGCCCCACTAACCCTGAAAGACACCAGCGCTTACAACAAAAATGCACAACAATATTGCTTACTTCAGGACATGATACACGAATTCGGCAAGGACGGTATGATCACCGAACAAGACTGGCTAGCTATCATGAGTACAGACTGAATCAAGATCCACCAATGGGGCCGCGCTTCTGCGTTACAACAGGCCGTGTGCCCTTAACCTTTCTGTGATATAACCGGATACCACCAACGAGTCCTCTTGAGCCGCTACCGCAACTGCATGGATAGGGCGCGCACAGCAAGCGCCAGCTCGCAGGGGTCACTGTTCAAGAGTGCTTGCATGTCGACCAAGTCCGTTGGCCACAGCTGGCGAAGCTCCACGAGACCTGCCCGGGCCCATGAACGCACAAATCGCGCGCAGATGTAATTCGTTTGAGATGCAGAATATTGTGGTTCCATTATGACAGACGCTGCCTCGCATTTCCAGCCCTGGGGTTTGCTGCTGCAGCCTAGACAGATGTATGAAGAGTGTTTTAGGCTTGACCAGGTTTGCAGTTCTATCGACGAGCATCGAGTGACTTGTAGAAGTCCGATGGGCAGGGAAAGAGTCTTAAGCCGACGAACCCCGAGGTGCAGCGTTTTCCCGCTTATTTTGTATAGCTACGGTGCCGAGAGCCGTGGGGTCGGCAATGTCACTGTTTCATCTGCCAATATTGCCTGTGACTCCGATTTATCACACCTTTCTCTGTAACCAGCCAGGGAAGAGCTGGGTCGTGCATGATCATAGCTTGCACCACGTCCAGCGGCAGCGAGAATCTGTCAAGCAGCGACAAGCTGCGGCGCAGCTGCTCCTCCACCTCGCCTCGAGGGGGTTCCAAGTAAAGCCTACATCAGGGGAGTGCTCTGGTATAAACGGAGGACCAGTCCTAACAACAGGCTGAACGAATCTCATTAGTCATCCTTGTCCGCTGTGGATGGGACCTTGACCCCACATAATTGCGTTATGTTTTGAGGTACAATCATTCATTGCACAGGCCAGCGGCCAGGAAGGTACTAAAAGCCACGGACTCGGTAACCCGGGAGACCAGAGGCACACCCCGACCTAGAGTCTGCCGTACGCACGTGTTTTGTCGATGCTACAGTCGTATGACGCGACACTTGATGGGGGAAGAGGTTGAAAAACAACACAATTAATTAAAGACATAGTGGGTTGGCCACCTCATGTCCCCCCACTTAACCATCGCCGCTTGCACCCTAGCGGCATGCATCCAGGCAATGCAAAGCCTGACTGGTTTGGAAGGGCCCTTAACGGCAAACGGAGACAACAGTTCCTGGGTTTTGATTAGTCAGAAGCTTACGGCAAGGGCTTTTCGGCTGAACCAGCGCCCACGTTACGACTATATACAATCACTGCATGTCGGATTCTTGTCGCCTACTTGGTTGGGTCGTTATTAGGATCCTGCCTTTCTTGAGCAAACATGTCGTTGTATTCTCATCGCCCATGAAACCCCACCTGCAGTATGTACACTCAAGAAAGTACCTGGGTTCAGTAGCCACCAAATGACTGATGTCGCAGGAGGGCAGCAGCACCTTAAGGCCCGTTAGCCGGCCAACAGCTTCATCAGCGCTCATCTCCAACAACTATGAAACGGGCGATATGGGCCGCCATGGGTTGCGGTTAGGTGTTTATCCAGCAGCTAAGCCTGGGACCGTACCAAGCATGGCCAGTTCTCAGTTGTGGCAAGTACAGCATATGCGTCCTAATCGCCAAGAATTGTGCAACCGCGACAGTGCTGAAACCAATGGGGACCCCTATGCTGCATGGAAGTGTGCGCAGCTACACCAGGAGACCGTACGACAGAAAATAACCCATTACGTAAAATGGCCAACGACAAGCGTCCTCGCTCCCCTGCAACTTACAGAAGGGACCTTCGTCATCATAACCGCCAAAGCATCCGGAGATATGAGGAGGATACTGGCAAGGGGACTCCGTTGCGCTTGCAGGTAGACGTCAGCGGCAACATTGACGCGTTTAGCCCTGTTTGGGGCCCGACAAGCAGCCCGAAGCCGGGGTCGAACGCATGCATACGGCATCCATGAGAACCAGATCTCCTTGTATGAATTGACAGGTAAAAGGTATGCATCGCAACCGCGCTTACTTGGGTTCGGCAGAATAACCCCCTGGATTTGGTGCCAGGTGCAGCAGCCAACGGTACCAAGCTGCCTGTCCACGAATTTCCTGCAAGGACACGTGGATCCTCTCGAGATGTCCAAATTCAAGTAGCTACACCAGGTTCTACCAAGGACTTCCACAATAGCTATGGAAGGCGTAAAATAGTGAAAGGGCAGCCAGGCTGGGTTACTCAGCTTCAAGCGTAATGGCAGGCAGAGTGCAAAACAGAATACCTCACACGCCGAAGTGCCTTCCACCCCAACCCCTTACCCCAACGGATAACGTAGAGGGTTTTCCTACACGACTAGTGCTCACCATGCCTCCACCAAAGGCGTTATGTGATAACCATCTTAAGAGATAACCGAAACCTCCCGGCACGCCTTCTGGTTGCTCCAGGTATCGCCTTAGGTCTTCTATGCTGCGCCATTGAGAGGGGTCCTTCCGCTCTCGCTCGGAGCTACCCCTAATAATCCTATGGGAATGAACACATATAGCCCTCCTCGTAAACAAATGGCCTCGACCAGCGGCTAGATTCCGTGTGGTGTCCAGTTTGCTGAGACCCATTCACGTTGCAACCTCGGATATTCAGTAAACGATTTCATAATTGTCACGTCCAACGCACTCGAATGCGATGCTTCAGCATGGGTTATACCATGTCCTCGACACCGGTAGTACATATCACATAGAACAGCGATCACGAATAAAAGTGTAACATTCCACTTTGTAAAGTTTCATGAGAAGGAATAACATTACAAGGACGGATGCTTTTGGCTAGCTGACCAGTAAGAAAATGGATGGCTACAACCCATACAGTTCTTACGGGCAAGGCAGATCACAGTCCTACGGGCAGAGTGCTCAGCAGCCTGCTGGCGGCTATGGTGGCACTGGAGGACAGCAGGTCAGCTCTGGGCAAGTTTTGCTGCAATGACCCGCCAACTCCACACAAAATGGAAAGCAATGGCGCTGCATTTCATGATCTGGTCGAAGCATGCCATGACTGCATGAAGAAGGGCTGGTTGTGCTCCTTCCGCAGGCGGCCGGGCAGCAGGGGAGTGGTGCGTATGGGCAGAGCCAGCCAAGTTATTCTGCTGTAAGTACATTTTAATCATAGTTGAGGTGGTTGGCTTGGCAACAGCTACGATTGCCCTTGGAAATGTCTTGGAGATCACCGCCGCCGTTCGACTGCCATTTTAACGTTCAACGCGCATCGACAACTTACTACAGGGCCATGGCGCTAACGTGGCGCCAGGGGGCTATTCTGGAGCAGGCTCAAGTTACCAGCCGCAACAAGGTGAGCATCTGTGCACTTCCGTCAAAGACTTGTCCGTACAAAACGCGCAGCGACCAGTTCACCGGCCACATGAACGCAGGCGCTTACGGTTCCGCCAGTGGCACTGGCGGATCTGGAAGCACATATGGAGCTTCCGGTAGTGGCAATACGTATGGGTCTAGTTCAGGGCCTTACGGAGCAGCAGGCAGCACTGCTGCTCCATATGGCAGCAGCACCGGCGGGCCCAGCTACCCCTCATCGTCCTCGGCGCAGCCTGGCTACGGTGCCGGAACGGGTTCGGCCCCCGCGGGCTACGCGGCCAACCCAAGTGGAAACTACGGTGCAGGCACCAACAGTAGCAACTATCCCACAAGCGCTGGTAACTACCCGTCAGCCGCTGGAGGCTCTGCTTATTCAGGCAGCACATACGGCTCTGGTGGTCAGGGCGCATATGGGCCAGGGGGCTCAAACACTGCAGCTGCTGGTGGAACTGGTGGCAGAACCACAGCTGCGGGCGCCTATGGCACGAACACTGGAACCAGTGCAGCCACTGGAACTGGCCCTTCCAATACGGCTGTGGGGTCTTCTGCCGCAACAACGTATGGGGCGTACGGAACGTCTGGTACTGGAGGCACGCAGTCTGTCCCCGGCTTATACGGCGCATCGTCCGCAGCAGGTACCGCGGCCCGCCCGGGTGGGGCGGCCGCGCAAGCCTTGGCGCACATGCCTGCGGACCAGCAGAGCAAGCTAGTCAGTATTGTGCAACAACAGGTGGGTGACGATTGCAACCGTTGAGGCCCTAGAAGGCACAGGACAGATGCGCTGGCGGGCATGCCTAAAGGTTGCCTGGTGGAAGGACCAGGGACCTTGTTTTACTATTCGTAGGGCACTGCGAACCAAGCAATTGGTCGAGCAATTACGTAAAATCAGAAAAAACATACGATTATAAGGACGTCAAAGCAACTTATCCTTGTTTATTCCTTTTCTGCACTAATGCTTCAGGCACGGTTTTTATAAAGGGCCTTGATTCCCAAAATGGTTTCTAGGCCTTGACCGCCTATCTCACATGCCATCTTCATCCGTACTGACGAGTGCTTTCTGAAACGGCATGGCTTACTCCCGGCCACTTTCGTCCTCTTGTGCCTTTCCATGGTAATGGCTGGCAATGCAGAGCACTTATGGCCAGCCTGGGAGCAGTGCAACAGTTGCACAGGCAAGTTACGGAGCGCAACATCAGGCGCAGCAGCCGTCGGCACAACAGCAGTACGGAGCATATGGGCAAAACACTGGAACGGGTAGCAGCAATGTGGCCACGGCAGGCGGGCAGCAGACCAACGCCAGCACGTATGGCGGAAGCGCGCCACGAACGTACGGGGCCGCACCAACTACAGCTGGCGGTCCCACCAGCCAAGCTGGTGGTGCCTTCGGTGCACAGCCTCCAGCGCAGACGGCGGCTTATGGCGCGGCCACTGGCAGCAGCCAACCACCAGCTTCTGGCTACGGCACCTCCAGCACCGCGTACAGCACAAAGACTAGCCAGCCGGCCACTTATGGTGGCGGGCCGCAGCAGGGCGCCTACGGCTCGGCGGGTCAGCAGACTACCTATGGTACAGCGGCAGGCCAGCAGGCGGCCGGACCTGCGCCTGGTCTCGGGAGCTCTCAACCGACAAGTGTGTACGGCACAGGTGCGTCATATGGCCCCAGCAATCAGCATGGCAGCACTTTCGGCGGCGGGGGTACAGGCACGGGGAGCAACCAGCAGGCCAACAGTGCGTGGCCGGGAGGCTATGGGTCGGCAGCGCAGCAACAACTCCCTGCCAGTGGACCTGGGGCCGGCGTGTCCAGCCAGTCGGCGCCACCTGGTCTGCAGGCGGGTGGCAGCAGCACAACGTACGGTGCAGTGCGTCAGACTGCTCCTCCCACTGGACAGGTGGGTTAGCGCGTTGGTGACAACCCTTGGAAATCCCTATCCAAATGTTTGGAGAGTATTGTTTGCTAGTGTGAACTGCTGGCCCGCCTGAGCCCGAGCATATGCGGAAAGCCCAGTCTTGCACTTCAGCAACGCTGTCAGCCGTACTGTTTCCCCACCGAGTTGCGAAAAAATGCAGTCATGCGATGAGGTCTTCAACTCGGTGGGTGGACACTGTCAGCATAGGCCAGGTAATGCGGGTTTCGCCGTGCCATGGAAGATGTGACTGCGCTGAAGTTCTGAAGCTGCCAGCCGGGGTAAACCACCAAAATTGAGCTACAATTTCTGTTGTCATCGTCTTCCAGAATCATTTCCTGGCTGCCCGGGTGAGAGGCTAGGAAGGAAGGACGCGCCATTAGTTTGTGAATTAGCCCTTGCTGCGTATATGTTTGCAGGGACAGTATGGAGTGTCCGCCTACAACACCAGTAGCACGTATGGAGGCGCTTCCAAGCCTGCCGCGCCCGTAGCTCCAGCCGCTGCTGTGCACTCGCAGCAATCGGCGTACGGCTCCAGCTCCTATGCATCTACCAAGCCGCCTGCCGTCGGCAGTTCCTATGGGGGTGGGTCACGCGCCTTCTCTTGGCGCCGCGTACACCCTGCCTAGTTTCGACAGGGATGGCAGGTGTTTCCGGAGAGCCCGGCGTTGCCTTACTCGAGTGTTCATGTTGTTTTGAATTTGCCAAGGAGTCATGGGTTTGAGAATTTAGTTACGATGGTTATGATAAATGAGCATACTTTAGCGGTATCGGTCAGCCTCTTACCACCTGTTTCAATGGGGCGCAGCTGCATATGCCAGCACCTGCTGCGCAACGCCCATTACCTCGTGGCGCTGCGTACTTTGGGCCTGCTCGTGCAGGCTTTGGTTCGGTCAACGCCTCAGGCATGTTGGCCTTTCCCTCATGCTCCCCCGGCTTGCACCCATGATCCTGCTGTCCCACAGGCGGTGGCATGGGCTCCACTGCGGGAGCGGCTTCTCCGCCAAGCCGTAGCGCGGGGCCAAGCTCCATGCCCATGGGTGGGGGACCGGGTGGCGGGCCTGGATCCATGGGTCCCGGCAGTGGTCCAGGCGGTGCCAGCGGACCTGGCCCCACGCGATATTATCCGCAGGCTCCCACAGGCCCGGGGCCCATGGGTCCGATGGGCGGGCCGCCAGGACCGAGGGCGGGACCAATGGGCCCCATGGTTATGATAGGTGGCGGTCCTCCGGGTCCAATACCGATGGGCAGGCCCGGCCCTTATGGCGGCGGCCCAGGCCCGATGGGCGGCCCTATGCCAATGCGCGATGACGATCGAGGCCGAGGTTCAATGGGACCCATGGGTCGCCGCGACTACGACGACCGGGGTCCGGGCCCCATGAGAGGTGGTCCGCCGCCGCCCCGTGACTTCAGGGAACGCGACCGCGACTTCCGCGATCGTGATCGCGACCGGGAACGCGATTTTCGCGATCGGGATCGTGACGTGCGGGATCGGGAGCCACGGGACCGGGATTTCCGGGACCGAGACACCCGGGATGCTCGGGACGCACGTCCCGATGTTCGGGACTCGCGAGATCGGGACCGTAGCGACCGGGACAGGGACCGTGCAGCGGCTCCCCCACCAAGGGATCGGGATCGAGACCGGGACAGGCGGCCGTCCCCGGCAGCACCGCCTAGACGTGATCGGGTGAGGGCTGGTGCAAGATCGTCAGTTTTGAGTTGAGAAGGACTTGGCAAAATGCTTTGTGCTATGCGAGTGCGGACTGCCATCCGCCTGTGTGATTTCGGTTGAGCTTATGCAATGAGCGACTCCTTGCTACTGGGACGTGCGACCCTGAGCCATTTCATTAGATTAGCACGTTGCAATCCGTTCTTTAGCTGCAAATGCCAGCGGCAGGATTCAGCCCTAGCCCTAGAGAAGGTTGGCTTTTCGTTCCCGCGTAGAGTGGCGCCCTCCCCTCCTAGTTTTCAGATATCTCCAACCCAGGATTAACTAGTATAAGCTTCATCTATGCCCCATTGCAGGACGAGGCTTCCCGCCGGCCACAACCGCGCAGCCCCTCCCCGGTCGCTGCCGCAACCGGTCGTGCGCCACCGCCGCGCCGCCGCAGCCCTTCACCGCAGCCCGCGGCCATTGCGCCACGCCCCAAGGTGCCCGAATATGGCGTGCGTGTGCCGCAATACTGCCTGACCACTATGGAGCGTGATTACATGGAGCTAGCACGTCGCCATTCGCATTTGGCCGTGCCCCCAGACTTTTCTCGTCTCGTGTGCAGCTGGGTGAGGGCGCAACCTGGGCCGGTTGACAGCCTAGGATTCAGCCTGCTGCCGCTGGACCGCCACATCCGCTACGACCACGAGCAGGACCTCACACGGGGCGCGGTAGCGGCCGAATCCGCTGGGGAAGCAGGTGCTCCCGTGCACGGCGGTGTCAAGTATGTGGCGAAGGTAGGCAGGGAGGGCCGTACGGAAGGCGGTACGGGGTCCAACTGCAGGGCGAAGAGTGGGCTAGCATTTCGGGTCTATCTTGGCAGTCTGACGCTTGGGGGCCAGGTGGGCTAGCCGCATAGATGTGCAGCAGCCGAAATGGGCGCATCGACGGCTCGAGGAGCCGGGAGAAAAGGCAATTCCGGGACGCGTGGTATTTCTTGTTGGAACAATCGGGCGCTGCCTCGCACGGATGGCACGCTGACGTCATGTGCTGCAGATGAAGGCGGCGCCAGCACCCTTGCAAGCTGCGGCAGTAGTCTAGCGGCCTGGGCTGAATGACTCGGTGTCTACTAGGCTACTTGGTACACATGAAGCGCAGGAATGGCTATTAGCTAGTAAACTTGTTATGTGTCGTCCTCTTCTGCAGCAGCCATGCTTCCTCATCCGTAACCATACGGCTCGTACTGCGTAGCCGTACGACTCGTCGTAATTGCTATGTTCTCCTAACAAGTACCTTGACGACTCGACTGGCTCAGCTCAATGCAAAGCTGCCCTACGCTCGCCCCACAGCGTGTTTAGCACTCTTAGCCCGTTGAGTATCTACCATGTTCATTCCTGTTTCGTTTACTTGAAGCACTCTTACCTACCGCGCTCCCCTGCACTCGGGCAGGTGCTGCTCGTGCAGGGCCTCTCCCCTTCGCTGCGCATGGACGTGCTGGTGGGTCCGCACCACGAGGGCGGTGCGCACCTGGTCCATGCGCTCAAATTTGTTGCTGCGCGCTTCAGCCGCTCGCAGCCCTCTGCTGGGGCCGAAGAGCGCGAGGGCAAGGACAAGGAGGGTGGTAAGGACAGGCAACGCGGTGTGCTGGGGGCGCTGGGTGGCACGTGGGATCCGGAGCTGGACGGCGGTGATCCAGAGAGGTGGGCCGTGCGTGTGCGACATAGGGATAGGGTGTGTATTAGCGTTTGTTTGTATGGCAACTGTAATGTGTCCGCGGCTTGGCGACTGTGCCTCGGTGAAGCAAACCAGTCTTGGACGTCCTCTGTCTCCGCAGCTGCGTGTCATTCAGACAAGGGCTTGCGTGCAGGACTTCATGCACGTTTAGGGAATGGTGTTGGGTTCATGCACTAGATCGTCATATGGACATTCCCGTGACGGCATAAAGGGAACGGCAGGCGGAACAACAGTGGCGAAGACATTTGTCCAGGGAACGCAGTTACCCCGTGGGAGCTGCCGCCAGGATCCCTTCCCCACACTTCATGTGGTATGAGTGTGGCTGCTGTTAGGGCCACTTAAGCCTCCCGTTTTGAGGCTGGTCATCTTCAAGGGCGGTCGTGCCATTTTAAATATGCACGGGTTGCATGGTACCCTCTTCCCGCCTTGGTTCAATGCTGTCCTTTGCACCATTCCACCTTTTGCTCTGGGTGCCTGCACATGCCTTTTTTCTCCCAGCGAGGACGGCGGCCTCATCCGCACCTGCATCCGCCACGTCAAGAACCAGGCGGGTGTTGACCTTTCGGCGTGCGCCCACTGGCTCCGCGTCTGTGACATCACCTACATGCGCGCAGCCTCCTCGCCGACCTCGGGTAGCGGTGATGCGGCATCGGCTGGGCAGCTGTCCTCCAGCATCTCCGACCCGCAGCTCCGTGAGGTGGTGGTCGTGTTTGCTGCCGTTCCAGACGCATGTATGGCGGGGCCGGACGCATGGCCTGAGGAAGCGCGGCAGCAGCAAGCCTTCAAGCAGCAGCGGATTGCGCTGGAGTCGGAGGCCAGGAAGAAGGTGGGTAGCATGGTGTGAGCGGCATGTATGGGATATGTCTCTGAGAGCACTTGCTTTCGGGACAGGATTCGCTAATGATTGTGCTTGGGTTGCAGCGCTGGGCATGGGCCTGCGGGTTAAAAGAGTTCGGTGGGACGCAGCGCAAGCATGTTGGTGGACATCCTGTACTTAGAATATTGTGCATATCAAACATGTCAAAAAGAGATACAGGAGGCCAGACTTTTGTCGACCTAAGCAGTAGGCCACTGCCCTTGGCAGTGGACCCCATACCTTCCGCTAGGTAAGGTGGGGCTGTCGGGTAGCATACATGTTTGCCTGTTGCGGCCAATATAGGAGGACGCGGCTACCGCGCGCAAGGACAAGGACGTAGTAACAGAAAAGGAGAAGACCAAGGACGAGAAGCGGGACAAGCGTGAGGAGGAGACGAACCCTGGCGCTGAGGCAAGCAAGGACAAGGATGTGGATGACCCTTTGAAGGGTGCAGGCAAGGATAAAGACAAGGACAGCAACGACAACAACAAGGAAGCGGATGGAGATAGCAGCAAAGCGGAACCTGAGGCGGGTGGCCGCTCCAACGACAAGGAAGGCAAGGAGGGCGGACCGAGCGCAAACGTTCAATGCGGATGCTGCTGTGCATGGAGAAGCCTATACATGGAGATTCGTTGGAGCGAAAGGGAACAGCATGTCGCAAAGGAATCTTCTGTACAGCAAATGAATTGATAGCCAGCGGTTTGACCAGTATGCCCAGTTGCTGTGTGCACCATCATCTATGTGCATTTTCGACGCCGTTTTGCCTCGGGGCCTGAAGTGACAATCGCTTGGGTTGCACAATTGCATTACACCATACGTGACTCAAACCGCAACTAGCTGCGTGACGTATCGCATCATTTGTCCCTGCCTATACATCACGTCAGTGCTCTTGTGCATGCTCAGAGGTACCGTTCCTTGTTCCGTGCGCCCATTACCCCGCCCCCTCAGCTTCTGGCGCCGCCTCGCCGCCGCCTCCCCCAGCGCCTGTCCGCGAGGTGCCGCTGCCGGAGGAGCCGGGTATCCAGCTGCGCGGCCGCGCAAGCGGACTCACAGCTGGCGCCGGGCTGGGCGGCTACGAGCGTATTAAGACGTTTTCCATCAGTCTGCATGGTCTCCTGGACTATGACGAGACAGATCGGGACGAGCCTACCTTTGAGCTGTCCGTGTTCACTGAATGCTTCCAGGACATGCTCTCGAGGGAATATGGCGGAACCATTTACGCAGCACTGGTGGCCGAGAGGTGCGTGCACGCCCTTGCGTTGCTAGATGCAATATCGGCCGCATACCCTCTGCGTGCGTTCAGCGTAGCTTAGTGCAAGGCAAAAGCTCCAGCCGTTAAGCAGCATTTTGGTTTGTACGTAAGATCTCATGCCGAACGGACGGATAGCGGTTGGCCCGATGGGTAGTAAGAAATTCGCCACTTTTTGTAGCCTGGGTGGCGCCCCAGTTGCACCGTGATCCTCATGAGTATCCTCTTGCGTGTATGTAGCACCGCAATCAAACTGCTCGTGCACTAAACCCCGTCTATGCGTGGTTTCTTGCGCGTGCGTGCGCAGGTCGCAGCTCACAAATCCGCCGGCGGCCTCCGCAGTTGTGACGGCACAGGCACATGCGCCAGTGGAAGCTGGCAACGCAGGTTCCGCAGGCAAGCGCAGCCGTGAGGAGAGCAATGGGGCGGAGCTTGGCCAGGCCGACAGCGAAGCTCATGAAGGGGAAAAGGACAACAAGAAGCCCCGTACCAAGGTGAGAGCGCCTGATCTGTGCCTAGCACCGCAGTTCGGCTCCGCTGGGTGGATCCTGGTTATACCTAATCGCGGCTGTTTTCCCACGGACTTGGGTATCCAAATGTGTTCCCTCTTGCTTCATTGCGTGGCGCAAATGCTTGGCGTACTGCTGTCACCACATGTAATGTAGGACGTCCAAAACGATGCGATCGGTTCTGATGTTGCCGGGGGCGACTCGGACACTGTGAAGGATGTGAGCGAGTCGGAGCAAGTAGCCGGGCCGTCGGCAGAAGGCCAAGCGGCAGTGGATGCTCCTACAGAGGAAAATCCTGAGGAAGATAAAAAGCCTGGGGATGCGGCCATGGCTGAGGTGTTGGCAGCAACGGAGGACACTGCAGGCGATGCTGGAGCGCCGCCTAAGGCTGATGGTGCTCTCGCCGAGGAGGAGGCTGAGGAGGAGGAGGCTCCTGCGAGCAAAACATCCAAGGGCAAGGCCAGGAGCCGAGCGGTAAGCCGCGACTTTAGGCGACAGCACGTATGCTATACGTGGCCGCCAGCCTGCTATCCCACGTGAGGTGAACTATTGTCATGAGCCTCGATTGGGCAGTCCCTTGATCCTCGCCTTGAGGCTCGTCCAATAATGGCCGATTCCGTTACTTGTTCTGCGACAGGGTACCTAAACGTTCCAGTTTGCTTGCACCCCAGGCCACGCTCATAAATAATAGCTTTTGAAAATCAAAATTCACTTAATCTTCCGATAATAGCGGAGCACAAATCCGTGGGATGACGGGGACGATTTCCAGGTAACCAAGGATTGTGCCAAGCTTTCGGGGAGCGCCCCGATGGGTTAATAATATTACCCCAAACCAAGGAAACACCGCTCCTCCCCAAAGTTCGTCACCTGGCCCCTCTGCGATCGCCCGCCTCATTCTTGAACCTCTTAGTCGAATAACGCAACCATTCCTGTACAATGGATATGATGCGCGGCACGGCAGATATCCGAACGCGTTTACCCGCGCGACGAAGAGATGAAATCGCCATCTGCGGCCGCTATCCCGGATATACGTTTGCCATTCTTACCCCCACAACACACCTTCGCAGGCAACGGCACGCGGTCGTGGTCGCGGCCGGGGCGCTCGTGGTGGCAAGGGCCGCAAGGGAGCCAAGCAGATGGAGGAGGAGCCAGAAGCTGAGCAGGACGCTGCTGCAGCCGAGGTGGAAGCTGATCCCAAGACGGAGTCGCAGCAGGAAGAGAAGGCTGAAGTGGCGCCTGACATCAAAGCCGAGCTTGAACCCCACTCGGCTTCGGAGGCCCAAGCAGATCCCGAGGCTGCGGTAGAGGCGGAAGTCAAGACCGAGGAGGCTGCTGCTCCAGCCGGCGACAACGGTACTGAACCTACAAAAGCGGATGAAGATATGCTAGCAGCAGACCGCAAGGTGGCGGAGGCGGCCATGATTGAGGCGGACGTAAAGCTGGAGGAGCCGGCTAATGGCGCCTTGGTGCCTGTAAAAGTAGAGCCCACGCCAGAGGTGGGGCAGCGCTGCAGCATTTGCCACCATGTTTGTTTGACTTCAGTGGGTAGAGTTCCTCAATGATGGCGGTTTGGAAAAACAGAAAAAATGCAATGACGTTGGGCGGAGTTCACAGCCTGATTGCGTCTTGATGACTCCCTGACTCCGTCTTTTCGCTAGGGTGCCACTTAGGCAGAATCTTCCCTTGCATGTTGACGGCGCCTTTCCTAATGCATCGTTACTGTTGGTTTAGTGTTGCTCGTCACTGCGTCTGGATTCGCTGGAGCAACGCAATCCCCGCTCACATGTTATCGCTCTGCCATCCTCCTGGTGTTACTCATCGGTCTTGCGCGTACCATTCCTGTTATGACCCATGCACTTCGTCCGCCGTTGGCAAGCTCTTTCGTCCTGCCGTCAACCTTTGCGGGAGGTCACGCGACCTGCTCTGAGGGACCAAGAACGCTCTTTCTCGTGCACCATCGCACTGCAGGCAGACATGGACATTGACAACATCGAGGCGGCAACGCCGCCGCCACCGCCGCCACCGCCGCCGGGACCTATAGCCCCGGCCGCGTCACCCGCTAAAGAACCCCGGGAAGGTTCTGCCAAGCCATCCGGCCCATCCGGGGGCCGTTCAAGCTCTCGAGACGCCAAGGATGCAAGGGACAAAGAGCGGGAGAAGGACCGCGAGAAGGAGAAAGAACGGGAAAAGGAGAAGGAGCGCAGACAGCGCAAGAAATATTTGACGGATAACAACTTGCTGCTGGCCTTCAGGTGCGTGTTGTTGGGCTTTTTGGGCACCAAGGTGTAAAATGCCAGCACTGGGCATGAAAGATTCCCGCGGCAATGCAACCACTTCCTTGAATGACGGCCGCACGGAGTCGAATATGTGTATGGTACTGCCAGGGGTCTGCACGAGTACAGCAATCTGCATTATCAATGACAACTACTTGCAATTGCGTGCGACCTCCGACTAAACGTATCGGCGCTAGCAAGCTATCACACACCCACGGTACGCGCATTTGCCTTCGGGAATGGCACACCCCCTTACGAGGAACATTGCCCGCCAATTAGGAAACTGTCGCGGTACCTTGTATCTTCTGTTCCCCGGTTCCTAGCTAAAGTCGTCTTGTTGCGCGTCCGGGCAGCTTCACTGCATTAGGAATATGGACCGTTTGTCCACTGTTCGTTCCGGCTTTTGCCTCAGGTACTTCGACCGCACCGGTTGCGGATACATTCGCACAGACGACCTACGGCGTCTGATGCATAGCCTGGGTATGGGCCTCCCGCATCGGATTGTGAAGGAGCTGGCACGTGGCGGCTGGGACGAGATTGGGCCCAACTGCCGCTTTAAGGGTAAGCACGTGGTCAGCCTTTGCGGATGTGCTTGTACATAATAGTTTCCAGGTTTTCCTGATTTCATACCATCAGGCAACCAGAATTTGTATGTCCGCGCCTAGTGCAAAGATGCTTGGCGTCCTAATAGATAGCTGCATCATCACATGCACTTACCAGGCGGGATGAAGTAGCCGTTCAGCTACCACGCCAGCAACATGGGCACCTTAATGTGTAGCCAAGCTTGTCAGCTGGGACCTGTATGGGGACATGGCACCTGTGTCCACCTGGACAGATGCCATCTGTCCATGCGCGCCATGTCCATGCGAATGCACTGCTCCCAGAGCAAGCTTGCGCATCTATGCATTTGTGTGTGCCTATGACCGCGTTTAGGTGACAAGCTGTACTACCGGGACCTGACGGACAAGGAGGTCAAGATTGAGCATGGTGCAGGATCGTTGGAGGGTTCGGAGCCGCCCTCACAGTCCCAACCACCCGCCCTTGCTGTTGATGCAAGCGCGAACAGGGAGGGATCCGAGGGAGCGCACGAGCGCAAGTAGCAGGCAGATTGGCCTGATTGTTCGGTCCTGTGACGGTTAGGAGGTGTTGGGTGTTACGAGAGGTGTGCCAGTCGTGCTCAGGCCGGCTAGCTTAACCCACATAAATGCACAAAGCTGGCCGATTTACGATGTTTTGAGGGGGGAACAAGCTGTTAGGGGGTTCCTGTCCATTTTGCTTGCATGGGAGAAACTTTGGTACTGAGAAGTTAGGTACTCTTTGGTTATAGTTGGTTTAGCGAGTCGTTGAGTTCCTGGTAGTATTCGGATATCAGAATGGAAAGAACGAAAGTCCGTTACCGTACGGCAACACTGCTACCATGAGTTTTGTTGGTAGAGGATAGTGATGGTATTGAACTATCCAAGAGTTCCTCTGCTGACGCGAATGTCGTTTTGTATGTAAGGTCTTTAATTAAAGTAAGGCCCACAAACAGGTGAAAAATCCCTCGCAGGGAAGCTTAGTACTCGTAAATATGACATTTGCGATGGGCAATTCTTCTTCTCCTTTTCATTGAAATCTTTTCGTGTACCTGAGCACATCTCACAACAATCGCTCCTGATTGGCCTCCAGAGGCGACGCTTCGTCCCAAACATGGATCTATGCAGCACCACTGGTAGAGGTGTCAGCCTGAACCATGTATCCAAAGTGCGGCAAGGATTGTCTACGTTCGTTTCGCGCGGCCGACGCGTCGCCCCTTTTTCAGTAAGCAAGGATTGGGTTAGTCTTGTTCGCGATCAGGTATAAAGCAGATGTCAACCGATCATTTAAATAATTGCAGGCAGCACGGATGACTCGAGGGCATTGGTTCGTTGCGTCGTCTGCTGCATCAGTGCCTGCACCAGACAGTGGGGCCGATGGTGGTCTGGCGCAGAAGGTTGCAAACTTTCCTAACGCATTCTGGAAATTTCTTCGGCCCCATACAATTCGAGGAACTATCCTCGGCACAACAGCGGTGACAGCAAAGTAGGTTGTGGCAGTGTGTTTTGGTTGGCAATTTCCGACCTGATGACGACCATTTCGACCCAAATCCCCAACCAACCCACAGAGCCCTAATCGAGAATCCACAGTGCATAGACTGGTCTCTGCTGCCTCGTGCACTACTGGGGCTGGTCGCACTGCTTTGCGGGAACGGCTACATCGTCGGAATTAACCAAATTTATGACGTCGACATCGACGTCTTGAACAAACCCTTCCTTCCCGTTGCCTCAGGTACAGGGTGTCGTTAATCCCACATTTTGGTGGTGAAGGATGCGGAAACAATTGTTGTCGTACAGTCTACTGAATCTTTGACCCCGTACAATTTCTGTATGTTTAATACCGTATGCTCCTGATGGCTATGTACAGGAGAACTATCCCCTGCGCTGGCATGGGCCCTCTGCCTGTCATTAGCAGCGGCCGGCGTGTCCGTCGTGGCAAATAACTTTGGGTCGGTGATCACGTCGCTCTACACCTTTGGGCTTTTCCTGGGGACTATCTACAGCGTGCCGCCCCTGCGACTAAAGCAGTACGCGGTACCAGCATTTATGATCATTGCCACTGTCCGTGGATTCCTGCTAAATTTTGGGGTATATAGCGCAACACGGGCTGCTTTAGGCCTGCCGTTCGAGTGGAGTCCTGCAATCAGGTGAGACATTGGCGTAAATCTTTGTTGGCCGTTCCGTTGGCAGAGATGTGAAAGCACTGACTGCATGTATGGTATGCTTGGCAATCATTACAAGCGCGAACCGACGCCCCGTCTCCATCGTACTGACTGCCGCTAGGACCACTACATCCCAAACATATTGTTGTATTCCCGCCGGAAGCTGCATTTGTCAGGTTTCGGCTCGGCATATTGGGTGTCCTAACCGTGTAACAGTTTCATTAGTGACCGCTTGCGCAATTGGGCAGTCCCAAAAAGTGATGTATCCTAGGCGACTGGGACTGTTGATGGCTTGTAAAAGCACTACGTACACGAGCGGTTGGTGAAGCTGCCTGCATATGTGAGTTATTACCTAGTAATGGGATACTATCAACTACCTGTCCAGCTGTAAAGGTTGTCGTTCTAACCCTGTTCCATCCCCCTCAACCGAAACGTTTCCAACCGCCGGTCAGCTTCATCACGGTGTTCGTGACGGTTTTCGCGATTGTCATCGCCATAACAAAGGACCTCCCGGATGTTGAGGGCGACCAGGCCAACAACATCAGCACCTTTGCAACGCGGTTGGGTGTTCGGAACGTGGCGCTCCTAGGTGGGTTTGCGGCTCCTATCATTACCTGCCGTTATGCCCTGAACAGAGAAGCAGCTTCATATTGACAGGGAACACATTTCCGTTAGAACATAGCCTAGCCAGGGCTCAAAATTGCATCTGGGCACGTCGCGCCAATGACGGTGGCCTAGTGCGGATAGCGTGGCTCCGTCATCTTATGTATGCGGTCTGCGTACGGTACAAACAGCGTGGTGTGCCGCGCTGTTGCAAGATGCGGTTTTCTGATGCACCGCGCACATTTCCTCCCAATCCTGATCTCCGCCATGGTGGACCCGTACGAGTGCCAGGGCTTTCCCTCCATGTGAGCCTTGGCGTGCGTGCTGGTGTGTCGTGGAGTGCGGGTGGTGTGTACCTCCAGGCATTTGGTCATGAGAGCGCCTGTACATTACATAATAACAGTCCCGACCAAGCGCGGGTAAACAGTTCGGGCGGATTCTGTTTGTGTGTGTGCGCACCTATGTATGCACAACCTGAGTTGCGCCGCGTCCTTCAAAGGCAGAACACAGCGAAGAAAATTGCGTCGCCGTTTGTTCCAATCATTCATACAGCTTTACGCACTCGCCCTGGGGATTGAAGTGCTCTGTTGCCGTCTACCCGCTGTTTGCTGCAGCTATTGGATTGCTCCTGGCGAACTATCTTGGGGCGGTGGGGCTTGCGCTCACGTACTCGACTGCCTTCAATGTGCCCCTAATGGCGGGAGCGCACGCCCTCCTCGGCTGCGTGCTGCTGCTACGGACGCTCAAGCTGCACACCGCTGGCTACACGCGTGAGGCCGTGGCGTCATTTTACCGCTGGATATGGAACCTGTTCTATGCGGAGTACGCTTTGTTGCCGTTCTTGTAAACCCGCTGGAACGCGCGCATGGGTTCGCGGGCACCGTGAGTGCCATTGAGCGTTGCGTTGGCGCGAAGTTGCATGAAAGGGACTCAGGTCCAACGGCAGGGGAGAGGCGTAACCAGTGCAATGGCGGAAAACGGCTGGTTCAGAAAGCCAGTGGAGCAAAATTTAGTGTGGGGGGTGAGGTTCAGAAGGGGGTTGGGTGTATGCTCGCATTGTGTAGGTCAAAACATACTGGGCTTACCTGTTCGCACCATCGGAAGCACGTTTCGCCGTTGGTTAAAGGTCTTATGTGTTTGGGGAATGCCGTCCCTATTTCCCGATATAGTGTGGGCCCCGCCTGCAGACTGCCACCTTTGTTGGACGCGTTTCATGCCAAGAACTTTTGGAGGCCTGTGCTACCTTCGAATGCATTTGCAAGTGCGTCTTAGCTACCATGCGTGACTGACTGACTGGCTGACTGACTGCCGGGTCGCACGTGGCACACTGAAACGTGTGTAGTGCGGCGGTGAGGTTTCCCATGTCAGTACTTGACAATGCCCTGCTATCGTGAATGCCTGCCTGTCAACAAGAGAACCGGAATTTAGCCCCACTGCAGAAGTGCACTCGCTATTTTTCATTCTACAGGTATGCGAGCCATGGTAGGTAAGGTGAGTCGTCTTCAGCTGAGTATGGTGGAAAGCATGGAAGTCGCAACCCAGCGCACCTCTCACGTCCCGGCGTTGTCACCAGGTCCCACTGGATGCTCTTGACAACTTGTTCCAGATACAGCGTAGCTTGATGCGTGTGAAGCTGGCAAGTTCAAACAAAGCTGTATGCTTGCTGATGGCGATATTGAATTGCATGGCTACCGAAAGTCGGTTAGCGTCCGTTTGTGAATTGATGCTGTATGGACAATAGGCGATGCCATCTTGTAGGTTATGCGGCCTGATCCATTTTCCTCGAATTGCAAGCATTAGACAGTCGACCACCCACGCGTCCGAAAGGCTTAGCTGGACAAGTCGGGTGTCGGCTTCCTCGAAGCTGTAAGAAGGGCGGGGGCCCCCTGCGTCCGTACAGGCCGGTATCTAGGGTAGTGTCAACGTGGTGGGAGCTGTGCTTGTTGCAGCAGTGCTGATGCTGTGGGAGCTATGCTTGTCAGAGCGCGGGAGGCAGGAAGCCGGGGCTCATAACCTGTTGAAGAGACGGTGTCTCTCTGGAACCTAGCAGACACGGCTAAGAGTCATTGGCCGTTACATGTAGTCTGGAGGTCCGCGACCTGCCACCGACAGCAACTTGCTTGGGCGTAAACGTATGAGTCTGAGGTGCCGTTACCGGCACACAGCAGGGGCTCGGCCGCCAAGTCCGCGGTCCAGGCCGGATGCTCAACGCTCAGCAGACACAATCACAGCTTGCCAGCCTTTAGCCTGTTGGCTTTGCGGTCTGGTGCCGCATCCATAACACACACGGAAAACAGCGCCGTACAGCACCGTACGCACTGCCTACGGCGCCCCTTCAGGCATTGACCTGCCCATTCGGGCGCCTGCCCACGCGCCCTTGGCGGCCCCCTCAAAAGCCTAGCGCGACACACTTCCCCAAAGCCCGCAGTACTTTCCGGTGCTGTCTGTGATGTTTATCCTCGAAGCGCGGGCGGCACACAGCCGCGCGGCACACTGCAACTCTTCGGAGGCCCCGAGCATTGGCCAAATTAATTGTACAAACGAGCAGATTGCGTGTCTCTAGAGA